ATATAAATATATATGTCAACTGGGCTTGGACTGTCACCAAACCCCCGTTAATACATGCCAAAATCTTAATATATTTGCTTCAGAACTGTATTTGCATTACCCTGTGTCCTCACTTTGTATGAAAACAGGTGTGCATGTGGTTTGTACTGTGTTTAGTGTGTGTGTGTGTGTGTGTGTGTGTGTGTCCGTGTGTCTGTGTGTGTCCGTGTGTGTGTGTGTGTGTGTGTGTGTGTGTCCGTGTGTCTGTGTGTATTTGATGTAGGTTGTCTGTGTTGTATTGGCTTTTATCAGACTGTAAATTGCTCTCTGTTCTCCAGCCAGAGAGGCGATCGATGTCAGAACACTCACACCGGCTATTCTTGTCCTCTGATTGGATGATGGTGACTTTATTGATGTTTGAGTGTCAGTAAGATCCTTTTCGATTGGATGGAATGATTGTAACAGGGACCTGCGTTTACCAGGAGAGGGTTATTCCTTGCCTTTGAACTGTAGTTACCTTGGATTTAAGCACTCAGTGTAGAGAGGAAGCTTTCCACTGCCACCTAGTGGTTGAATAACACCGTTACACGGTTTTACTGTGCTGCTTTTGTTACTGCTGTTAATACTACTAATAATAATTAGTATTAACAGCAGCTATAACTAATAATAATGCTGTTAATTCAGTAATTAAAAGGGTTATCTGGATAGTTTTGGACATTTATGATGTTTTTCTACCCAAACAGGTACCAACAGTGCAATTCCGTGGCTAGTTCTTCTTCCACCTGTTTGAGAGACAGTCAGAACCATCACAGCTGCACAGTTCACGATTAATGATTTTTGGTTATGTCATGCCACTCTATAATGAACCTGCCTTGCTTGCTATTTAGCTTAACTTACTGGCTGCTGATAAACCTATTTTTATTCTCTTGAGTGAATATTATTTTTACTCCCTTTAGAGATTATTATTCTCGTGAGAGTTTGTTATTCTGTCTTGAGAGAATATTAATTAACGCTCGTAGGTATATTTTGTTTTTTCCATCTGAATTTACTTGGCCAAATCGTTAGGCAAATTATTCAGTAACTACATGAAATAACTATTGGTAAAAGTTCCCCTCAAATTAACAGAACATGTGTTTTATGATCATAAACATAATGATATATGCTTACAATTTACTGCTGAAAGCCAAAAATCTTACACGCTATTTGTATTTGTTTATAAAAGTAATTTTTACAGAGCAGATCACTGAAGAGACGCCATCTGTTTATAGTTTATAGCTCAGATTTGTGGAAAAATGGGTCGACTTTCAGTAGAAAAAAGAAGAAGTTCAGCTTCTTTTATTATAACGTTTTAAAATGACATCACCCATCTATTTGACTGGAAAGAAGACAGTTACAGCTCTCATACGACCCCCACTTTTAGAATGTAGCTTATGAAATATGAAAGTAATGAAGACCGGTGGTCCCAAGGAGTTAAAGAGGTTAAGTGATGCATTAGCTGTCTTGCATACCAGTTAATCTTAGCTTAAATTCAGCTAAGCAAACATGAAATAATACAGTGTGATTTTCGATCTGTGCAGGCTGGCATTACTGCTATTAAAGTTAACTTCAGCTTCCTAACTACCTCATGTTAGCAAACTCTTTATAACCTCGCTGTCCAAAGAAAAGCAGGTATCTCCAAAATAGCAACTTCACAGGAGAGCGCAAAAACCTTCTTTACTTTCAATGTAAGTTAATGGAAAGATATTTTGTTCTAAGCCATTTTGGAGCATTTCCATTGGTCCAATAATCATGAAATGTAAAGGACGTCTGCTGAGCTCAAATGATGCAGAAAAGTAAAAATCGCAAAGGAGATACATGTTTTTCATTGGACAGCAACGATATGTTAGTTCTGTTCTGAATATTCTATCATATTTATTCTAGTTTAAATGTATTCTGTTCTGGTTCAATTAAAAAAATTCTCACACACCAACATACCAAGATAGTTAGCGTTCTGGTGCACTTATTGGTCATGTAATAGTACTTGGTGACTTTATCTTTACCTGGGCTAGTTAAGAATTTGCTAAATTGTTGTTGGCTTCTGCTGCAAGTGTTACTAAAGACAGAGGAGAAGACCCTCGAGTACCGTTAAGTTGTCTTGGTATAAATCAGGACCAACCAATATGGTCTCTATGCTTTTCTGAGCAAATTGTGGATATGCTCATTATTTAGAAACACTTTCCAACTGCAGGTTTGATTTAGTGCAGCATATGTGAACTGTTTGATGTGTGTGTGTGTGTGTGTGTGTGTGTGTGTAATGTAAATGTAAATATATTCGGAAACAGAACAAAACCTTGTATCTTCAAAAAACATAATTTACTTTTAATGTATATAAATGGATCCAGACTTTTTTCCAAGTAATTTTATATCATTTCTGTTGGTCCATTCATCATTACATTTACACACACAATGTAAAGGACAACTGTTGAATTATGACAAAAACAGAAAAACGACAAAAATAGAGATATGAAGTTTTGTTCCGACAGCAGCGATATATATACATACATACATATGTGTGTGCAAAATGTAATAAATCCTTGTATTCGTAATGTTTTATAATCCTTTTTTATATTTCTGACATACTGTACATCAAGAAAACTTCTTAAAGTATCGTGAGATTATATTTTTGCCATATTGTCCACCTCTAGTATAAATCGCATACAGGCACCAAAACCCATTAAGCTGGTACGTTTGGTATTGGGCCGGTGAAGAACAGCTCCAGTTTTCAGGCTTTGGTACTTTGTACAGCAGAAAAATGCCCTTAGTGTACGTCTGCTTTGATTAGAATCACAGACAGAGAGAAATAAAGAGGGGAAGGAAAATAATAGGCATCTGTCAGGCATTCATTGTTGTTTTCTTATCACACTTCAGTGCTTCTCTTTTCTAGGGAAGTGGTTACAATGCCTTGATTCTGCAGAGTGAGGAAATGAAACAGAATTTTCATTCATTCATGTTATGACATCTTTCTTTATAAGGCTGTAAAAGGGAACTTTAAAAAGGGCTCAACCTTTAGAACTCGTTTAAAAAATGCGTCTTCATTAAAAATATGCTGCGTAGTAGCATATATATATATGTGTGTGTGTGTATGTATATATGATAAATATATGAAAAAATATTGTTAAAAGTGTTGAAATCATGCTGTGTTTACATGTCGGTGGTAAATAGACGACAGCAAACTAGATAGTTAAATATTATTTATTTATTTATTTATTTATTTTTAAATGGAGCCGCATAGAAGCGTAGAAGTTCTGCTGACCGCTGTGGTCATGAGTTGCATCAAGTGTTGCATTTTCCCAACTTATCCGTACGGCCGCAGCAGTGGAAAGAAACTGGATGTTGATTATTATTATTATTATTATTATTATTGGAAACACTTTTTTGGACAAACTAGTGGCTATCACAGCACATGGGCAGGCGCACCACTATTACCATAGCAACGTAGACACTGCTGCATGCCCCCAGTGCTGCTGTGAGGCTGTTTTTAAGCACCAGGGTGTAAATGCGACCCTTAGATATGAAAATATAAAATGGTAAATGAAGGAAAATGAAGATTTGACGTCTGCCCAGTCCACACCCGGTGTGTTGTAACAGTGCAGAGATGTTCTGATGTACTCATCGCTCTCTACTGGAATCACGCCTAGTTTTTATGAAGGTCTGCTATGTTGCGCTAGGCTAGGTGTGGTCCTCTAGGTCTGCTGGATTACAGGCTGGTGGTCTGCTGCAGAGTGTAGCTCAGGTGTTGAGAAATGAGTTGCGTCAGCCTGTCGTTTGCGCCGGATCTGTTTGTGTAAGAGCCGTGTGTGTCACAGCGGTCTGGGCTTGTCTCGTCTTGCTGTTGTCTTCTCAGAGGAATAAGCCGGTACTCACTCGAACGTTTGTACACATTTACAGCTGTAAATAGACACAGACTATTTCCAGCTGTTATTCATGAGAAGTTCCGCGGGGATCACAGGAGATGAGATGTTGCTGTGTGTGAATTTTGCTCTCTTGAGCCGCAGATCTGAGGACTGGTACAGATGTTATGTGCCGTTACGCTTTCTACGTGTGCTCTGTGTGACTATTACTGGATTGTACTTTAACTGAATTGAACTATTACTGAATCAGCTGTTATGAAATGGCTCAAACGTGGTTTATAACAAGTGCACTTTTTTATTATTTATTATTATTGTTTTTTAACACATTTATTCAGTTCTGGGAGGGGTCATTCCATGAAGACTACCGTTTGGGTCCACAACTTTTGATGCCTTTTATTAGAGGCAGAAATGCGCTGTTAAAGTGGAATTCCAGTTTTGCAAAATTCTGCGTAATTGCATGGTTGAGATGTGAACAATGACATTCAGAGTGGTTTGATGTGAAATTGTTCATTGTAGAGAAATATAGAGAAATTTACAGTCTCAGATTTTTTTTTTTTTTGCTAGGACCCAGAAATATAGCCATTGAAGATTACTATTCAGAACCACCAGTGAACCTACACGTGTATGTATTGTTGGTGATGGTAAAACAGTGGTCAAAAAAAATGATTAACTTATTTATTTGTACATTTTGGTTTTTCGACACTCGGCCCAGCGTAAAGATTACACTTCCCTCCCGAAACATCTGTCTACTTTTTTTAAGCATTTATCTGCCGATACAGATATGATTCTGATCTCACTGTGTGTCCCTGTATATTTATTGTTTGTGTAATGAATGACTTTGAAGCTTCATTGACTTGAATTCGGCACCAAGCTGAATTATGAGTCTTTGAGTCTATACAGGAATTTTTTCCTCTCAAAGATTTTTACAAAATCTTTTCTCTCTTTCCCTCCCACACACTCTCTCTCTCTCTCTCTCTCTCTCTCTCTCTCTCCCTCTCTCTCCCTCTCTCTCCCTCTCCCTCTCTCTCTCTCTCTCTCTCTCTCCCTCTCTCTCTCTCTCTCCCTCTCTCTCTCTCTCTCTCTCTCTCTCTCCCTCTCCCTCTCTCTCTCTCCCCCTCTCTCTCTCTCCAGGCCGAGTCTGGTTATGGTTCTGAGTCCAGTTTGCGGAGACATGGCTCCATGCTGTCTCTCACCTCCGCTACCAGCGGCTACTCCGCCACCTCCACCTCCTCCTTTAAGGTAAGAACACACCTTTTCTGACTCTGTGTTTGTCTCTCAGGCCTCACTCAAGATGACCTCTCCCACACTGTAAACACAAACACTTGAACATCTTATGTAATAGTCTAAAAGTGCACATCTTCAAATGCAGAGCTTACATTCACCTCAGCAGCTCCACTCAGGAGTTTAGATGACCGTTAGATGACCCAAACTTTATTTAATTTATTGTATATCCAAATGTCACCTGCTCCTCCAGCATTTCTTCTGAAATGAAGGGTATTAATAGCGAGTTTCTCCCTCTTTGCTGCAGTAACAGCCTCTACTCTTCTGGCTTTACACTAGATGTTGAACATAGCTGTGAGGATTTGATTGAGCATTAGTGAGGTCAGGTACTGATGTTGGATGGTCAGTTCTGGATCACTCCAACTCATCCCAAAGGTATTGGGTGGAGCTCCATCACTCCAGAGAACACAGTTCCTCTGCTCCACAGCCCAATGCTGGGGGTCTGAATTCACTCCTTGTAAGGCTGGCTGGGTACTTTCAGATGGTTCTTGAACATTTTTGCCCAGAGCCCTGATAGATTGCCGACCTTGATTTCTACATATTCCTTTTCGTGTCTTCCAGAAGGGCCACAGTCTGCGGGAGAAGCTCGCTGAGATGGAGACGTTCAGAGACATCCTGTGCAGGCAGGTGGACACGCTGCAGAAGTACTTCGATGCCTGTGCAGACGCCGTGTCCAAGGACGAGCTGCAGAGGGACAAAAGTGAGTCTACAGGGTGGCAAAAACAATGCAAACACCTTTCTGATCCTCCACTTTGATACAGTGAGTGCGTTTACATGGACTCAATAATCCGATCATAATCTGATTTCTGCAGTTATTCAATTATTCAAATGGTCATGCAAACATCATACTACGATCTAGAAATCCGATTAAGAAATCTGATAAAGAGAGCTGGATTTTTGCTCAGTAATCAGATTTCTCAGTGCTGTAAACTCTTACTCTGATTTCTTTCGGGATTTCTCAGTCTGTGCATGTACGAAAACAGACAGCGGTACCAGAAATAAGCGAGCTGCAAAACACTTTTGGAGCGACGCTGAAACCGAAAACATTCTCTATGAAACGAAGGATTTAAATATTCTTCATCTTCTAGACGATGTATGCTCATATTTTCAGATAAAGTGGCGCGTTTTTTTCTTTTGAAAAGCCGCGGCACGAAGTCTGAGTTTTACGTTACGTTTACGTCACGTCTTCTTCTGTGAGTTTATTGGCTGGTTGCAAAGCAGAAATCTGATTACTGTCTGACTCATGTAGACCCAGAGTTTCCCCATTATCTGATTACTCAAGTGTATGTGAACGTGTTGATCGGATTACTGACAAAATCTGATTTTCTGCAGTTATCGGATTATTAAGTGCATTTAAACGCACTCAGTGATGAAAGCCGGTCACTGGCATCTGTTTGGTCTCACATACAGACATGGACAGTTAAGGTCAGGAGTCCAACCGCTGCATGTTATCATACTTCGCCCATGTATGCTGAAGAACGTCCGTTATGATACAACCTCTCTCTTCACCGCTCGCTCCCTACCCCTCCTTTCTCTCTCTCTCTCTCTCTCTCTCTCTCTCTCTCTCTCTCTCTCTCTCTCTCCTTTTTCTCTTTTTATCTTGTCTCTCTTCGTACTTTACCGCCTTATCTGTCTCTTGCTCTCTGTTTCTTCACTACTCACTGTCTCTTTACCCTCTCTCTTTCTCTGTCGCTGTTTCTTTTTTGCTCACCCCCCTCTTTTTTTCTCTCTCTCTCTCCCTCTCCCCCTCTCCCTGTCACTGTCTCTCTCCTCTTCATTCTTTCTTTGGCAGGATGCTGCAGCAGCACAACAGCGCCTGTTGATCCACATACTCAGCCACTTCTTTTGTTCACTCGCAGTTTCCTCCACTCATCTCACTCCGTCTCTCTCTCTCTCTCTCTCTCTCTCTCTCTCTCTCTCTCTCCGTCTCTCCCCCTCTCCTTCCCCTTTCAACCACACAAGTTCGATTTTCTCCTCCTCTTTTTCTTGGTGTCTCCCCATCTCTCTTTTTACTCTATCTTTCCCTCCCTTTGATCTCACTGCTTTCTTTCTTGCCCCTCATTTTCATTCTGTCCCTCTTCCCTCTCCCTGTGTCATTCTCTTTATCTCTGTCTCCCCCTTCGATCACGCCTGTGTTTCTCCTCCACCTTATTTTCTTTTCGTCTTTCTCTCTCTTCCTCTCTTCTTTCTCTTTTCCTCTTTCTCGTTTTCTTTCTCTCTCACCATCTTTCTTTTCCTCTGTCGTTCCTTCCCTTTCCTCTCACTACTTTTTTTGTGTCCCTCTCTTTTTCTCTCTATCTCTCTTCTTTTCCCTCTGTCTTTCTTTCTGTCTCTGTCCCCCCCCCTTTGATTGCGCCTCTCTTTTTCTTCCATCTTGTTTTTTTTCTTCTTCTCTCTTCTCCTTCGTTTATCCTCTTTCTCTTTCTTTCTGTCGTTTTTCCTTTATCTTTCCCTTCCTTTGATCTCACTACTTTCTTTTTCGTCCCTCTCTTTTTCATTCTTCATCTCTGTTCCCTCTCCCCCTGTCTTTCTTTCTCTTCCTTCCCCCCCTTCAGTCATGCCTGTCTTTCTCCTCCATCTTATTTCCTTTTCTTCTCTTTTTCCCCTCTTCCTTCCTCTTTTATTCTTTCTTACTTTCTTTTTCTTTCTTTCTTCATCCTACTGCCCCCCTTCCTCCTCTCTCTCTCTCTCTCTCTCTCTCTCTCTCTCTCTCACTCTCTCTCTCTCTCTGTAGAAGAAGCTGGTCTATTGTAATGCTGTGTGGTACAGTGGGCCTCTACAGTGTCTGTCTCACTGTTCAGGCTGCTGTACTGGCAGCTCTAGGCAGTGCCTTCCACAGAGGCCTCTGAGTTCATACTGACTGACTGTGTTTCTCTCCATGCACTCTTGATCCAGTTGTGGAGGACGATGAAGACGACTTCCCGACCACTCGTTCCGATGGAGAGTTCCTGCACAACTACAACGGCAGCAGAGAGAAGCGTGAGTTTAATATCACCACCTGAGGACTTACACTGACCACTCACAGTCTGGCTATAAAAGTAGATCTATTAAAATGTAATTTATGAAGCTTATAAATTGATGCGGATTTGTTTTAGAGAACTTTCCTGTTGAAGCTTTATCTTCCGCAGTGTGTTTAGCTGTTTATGATTACTCACTTTTATCCCGTTCCCACTCTGTATACCTGTTTGCTCTTTGTTGATTGGTTCAGTTTTAATGTAAAATCTTTAGCACTTTGCCTGTGGCCTTTTTTCTAAATGCTAAACTGTCTATTTTGCAGTGGTCTTTGGTAATCAAACTGTACGGTGCTGTCAGTATTTCTCCAAATCGTATCTCTTTGTTAGGTCTTTATGAAGACTAGCACATTGTGAATGTGCCAGTTCTCAGCTTCAAGTTCAAGTGGGAACAGTAGTGATGCTTTTTTGCACATTTAATTACTTATTCTCTCTTTTTCTCTTGTAGGTATGACATTGTGAAATTATATTTGTTATAGCCTTAACATAAAATAAAACTTTATTTGCCTATAGGCTAATTTAAGATAATTAAAAATAAAAAGTAACAAGTTCTTCCGTAGTCAGGATGATGGTGAAATGATAATGATGATAGAGATGCTAATAATAGTGATGATTCTAGTGACGACTGTGATAATTATAGTGATGAAAGTGATAAAGATGGTCCATTTGATGATGATAATAGTGATTATGATTGTGGTGATAATTGTCTCGTTCTGTGTCTGTAGTGTTCCAGTCTCTGAGCACTAAGGGCATCAATGGGATAGATTTTAAAGGGGAGGCCATCACCTTCAAGGCCACTACAGCAGGGATCCTGGCCACGCTCTCTCACTGCATCGACCTGATGGTGAAGAGAGAGGACAGCTGGCAGAGGAGACTGGATAAGGTATCATAACACAGCCACCTGATCCCTTTATCTTGTGGAGTGTAGACAAGTAGTGCTGCCTTATTACAGTCTACTCTAGAGGATCTGTAGGATCAGGAACATGTGGCATTCAAATTCTGAACTGGTGAGAATGGATTAGAAGTGTGAGGAACAGACCAGTATAGTGCTTTTGAAGCCATTTTTATTAAAACAAACCTCAATAAAATCAGAGTGCTGTGATACCTAGTACCGCACTGGAAGAATCAAACTGTGGACGGCGCCAAAGAAGAGAAGAAAACAAAAGCACGCTTGCCTACTCTGAAACAAAAAGTATTCAGCTAATCTAAAAAAGGATAGAAAAGCTAACTACTCTAAACTTTCCTAGCCAGTAACCAAAAGGACATGTGGTAGTGCCCGTCCCCTGACCTAGGGAGCTAGACAGAGTAGACATCTACGTGGTGCGAATGTATAGGCGCGCCCCTCTCACCTGTTTGAAACCCCAGGTGGTACAAACAATCTCTTGTAAAACAAAGTTAAAAGCGTGCAGGTAAAATACCACCACTAAAGCACTTCCCCTAACATAAAAGACAAAGTCTTTTAAACTAAGTTAAAAGAAGCACTGGTAAAATACCTAAAACAAAGCACACTCCCAACACATTTAAGATTAACAGCACAAACTAAAACACAGCACACATGTGATCGGTCATCTCTCTCTTCGGCCACCTTGAAGGCCTCTTTTAAAAAAGGGAGAGACAGAGAGACACACACACACAAAAAAAAAAACAATACGTGCTTACACCTAACACGCCCACCCAAAAGAACACAACTCTAGTTGCGTTTCTGAAATTACAGAATGTGGGAAGACATGTTAGTTTCAAAAGGATTTGCCATTTTACCAGAATGGACCATTTTTTTTATTTATTTAAAATATTGTCAGAACTGCAACAGCAAAACAGGCACTGAATACGTATTCACAAATAATTCTAAATGAAAATAAATTGTTTTAGGTATTTTCTTTTGAAAAACTGCCTGTTTGCTTGAAGTAGACACCAGGCATCTTTTCTTTTTGTGTAACCGCTGGCCCACAGATTGGTGTTGGTGGGGGGTCAGAACGCACACTATGTTGCAGTGCATACTGGGGAATGTAGTGAATCTCAGGGTGAAACGGGCTAATAATAATAAAACGTCAATGTAATTTTGCGAGCTGAATAGGACTGAGTCTCGGCCTGGCTTGTGTTTGACACATGGGTATTACAGTCTAGGGTTGAATAGGGGTGTAAATGTTTAACCTCACAGCAATCTGTTTAATATTTTTTTAAAAAATAATTATTCAAAAAAACTAGAAACAGATTGTGGTGAAATTGTAGATTTCCTGATACAATGTGCGTGCAGCAGATGCCCTTTACATTGTGTGAAAATTTCATGAATGGACCAATAGAAATGCTCCAAAATTGCTTTGAATAAAATCTCTTTAACTTATATTGAAATTGTATAAATAATAAAGAATGTTTTTGTCTTCTAATTGTTAAGTCACAATTTTGGAGAGATGAATGATTAATACACAAATGTGAGTGGAGTAGATTACTCGATTGCTAATATGAAAGATAGTGGCCACCCTGAGCAGGACATCAGGTGCTAAGTAGGTGTTGTGTTGCTGTCAGCGGAGACGGATTCCTGCAGACTCGTGCTGCAGTTGAGCTGGATCACTGCATGCAGCTTCCAGCACCAGCAGAACAGAAGCTTTTGTGTTCTGGAAGAATGTCTATTCTGTCCTGTTCAATGGAAGGATGTGTTCTCTAGTTCTGGACTGAATGCATTCTTTACTGTAGGTTCTAGACCTGGTCTGTGGCCAGAAACCTCCAGATAATCTCCAAAACAGTAACTTTACAGGAGAAACAAAAAACATTCCTAACTTTGAGTGTAAGTTAATGTAACAGAAGTGCGTTTGAAGTCATTTTGGGTCACTTCTTTTGGTCCCATTCATCATATAATTGTGAATCATATATATGTACGTGTGTGGCTGTTGTCAGAAGAACCTCGTATCTCTAAAATGGTAACTTTACAGGAGAAGGAAAGACCTACTTTACTTTTAATGTAAGTTAATGGAACCAGATGTTTTTCCAAGTAATTTTTCCATCATTTCTTTTAGTCCATTCATCATGATTTACATACAATTTACATACAATGTAAAGGGTAACAGGTATTTTCAAATTATGTCAAAAGCTAAAAGAAATGTGTGTATATACACACACACACACACACACACACACACACGTGTGTGCGTATATTAACACATATATGTTGCAAGATATATATTAACAAAAGAGAAATGAAAGAGAAAATTGTTCCAACAGCAACAAAAATCGCTGATGTTAGGGAGATTTGTATATTGAAATGCTAGTGTTGAGACATACAGTGCTTTTATAGTCATTTCGCAGCAGCACAGCGAAATGTATGGTGCACTACCTGATGGTGCTAGAAACGTAAAATTGCAAAAATGTATGATAAATCAAACAAAAAGGCAGACAATAGCTATTAAAAACACAAATGCATCAGTACTATAATATGAATAAATATGAATAGTACTATTATATTATAAGGGTGGGCAGTATGGCAAGAATATAACAATACTTGATGACATTTTTATGATACGCTATGCTATGAAAAGCTATGATCACTGTTATTTTTATTAAACTAAATCCAGTTAAACAGGCCTAATTATGCACTCATTCTAATAAAACGTGCCAGTCGGTGTTCTTTAAGTACTGACCGTATTTTTGAACATTTTACCATGTGTCATGACGGTGTAGATCATGATGATGATAAAATGTCATTATATTGTCCACCTCTGTTGCAGTGCTTTGAAAACCCAACAAAAGCAACAGTGACTGTAAAGGTGGTCTGTAGGACTGTCTACTCAAATCAGAGGGAGAAGGTAGACGTAGCTCACAGCGCGAGGTTTACGAGATAAGAAAATGTAGCATCACCAAATGGCAGAATGCAATCACTGACTCTTGCTATCTCTCTCTCTCTCTCTCGCTTGCTCATTCTTGCTCTTTTTTTGCTCTCTCTCTCTCTCACCCTCCCGCCTACTCTTTCCATTTCTTTCTGCCTCTGTCTTTCTCTCTCATTCATTCTGTCCTCCTCTCACTCCTCTCCCCTCTCTCTCTCTCTCTCTCTCTCTCTTGCTCTTTCTCTCCTCCTCTCTCTCTGTAGGAGACGGAGAAAAGGAGGAGAGTGGAGGAGGCCTATAAAACAGCATTGTCCGAGCTGAAGAAGAAATCTCATTTCGGAGGCCCGGACTATGAGGTGGGGTTTGTAACGCTACTGACATTTTTTTATTCGCTGCACAGTTCACAGCAGTGGTGTTGTGTGATAAATGAGGCTTAGAGAGCACTTTTATTATTCCTATACCGTAAAATGCTGCGACTCTGCTTTCCTGCAAGATTAAAATATGTTTTGTCAGCTGTTTGCTTAACCAGTTCTTAAAAATGAGATGAATATTACAGAATTACGGATTCCCACCTTTGGTTATACAGGGAGATTGACTCGAACGAGGCCCCGAATGTTCTGTTGTAACTCCTGTTAGGATGAAGCAATCTGTTCGAAGCTCCATATACTGAGGAGCACGTTGCACATGGTTTCGTTCAGATTGCTTCGTCCTAGCAAGAGTTATTACAGACTATTCAGGGCCTCTTTCAAGTGAATCTCCCTGTATTACTTGAAGTAAATTTCACCGTGGTTTGGTGCAAAATGGTTCGTTGTAGAGAAACTTCCAGACTTAGAATTTCTTTACAGTGGTGGTGATGGGAACCAGGGGTCACCATGTCTACAACACAGATATAACCATTTTATTTACCATCCAAAACTACCAGTGAAGCTGCATGTGTTTCTATATATAATGTTGATGATGGTAAAATATATGATGGAAAAAATATGGTGTTTGGAAACTATTTGGCCCTGCCTGCATCTCTCAGAATGTGTTTAAGGCCAAAACCTTTTCAAAATTTGTAAAACAGTGTTTAGGCATCAGGCAGTGAATTCATAACAGTTTCATGTAATTCCTTTCTGTGAGGGAGCTTTAAGAGCCATCTGGTTCCTATTACCACCACTGTGAACAATTCCGACTTGAGTTTCTCCAGAATGGAGCGTTTTACACCAAACCACTCTAAATGACTTAATAAGAAACATAAAAAAAAAAAATCTGTGTTCCCTTTTAAAGTAAATGTAAATGACTACAGAGTTTGTTACCAGTGGACACCATTTTCCTGCATGATTTTTAGACAATATTATCCTTCATATTTGAAGATGATGCCTAAAAAATGTCTTTAGATCTACTTTTACGCTATTGGAAGTTGTTTGTTTTTTATTATTTATGAATCAGCAAGCAAATTTCTCCAATATATATCTATGAAACCATACATAATTTAACCGTCTACTTATAGATTGTGATTAAGGAATTAATCTTTAGACTACACTGAAGGAAATTATACGAAACGTGATGCTGAACAGTTTAGTTTTTTGAGGTAAGACATAAATAATAAGCTAGTGGGCTGTAAATAATAAAAAAATAATACTAATTAGAGTTGTGTTTCAAAATGGGTAAGGATGATGATGTATGTTTCTGGCAAAATATCATTTGGTTTTCATTTTCAGAGCCCTGGTTCTACTTGAACCATTTATATAAGTCTCATTGTAGGACAGATTCTTTCTTACTGGCTTAACATTAAAGTTGCCTATTCCAAAGTAACAGATCAAGAAAGGCCCTCCAAAAAAGATGGTGCTTTTCAATCATATTTGGCATTTCATCTGTAATCAAAAATGTTAGCAGATACAGCAAAAAAGTGTCTTTGCTGTCTCAGTACTGGGGGATGCAATTCCAGATCTGATTCATTTTGGTCTCATGCTATTGTCTCCTATCTGGTGTCAACCAGAGGAGGATGGGTTCCCCTTTTGAGTCTTTTTTCTGTAAAGCTGCTTTGTGACCATACCTGTTGTAAAAAGCGCTCTATAAATAAACTTTGACTTGACTTCGTTGCTTTTATCATTATTCAGACCTTTCTTAGAACTTTCATTCTCGTTGTCTTCTTCCTCTTTGCCTCTCTGATCTTCAGGAGGGTCCAAACAGTCTTATAAACGAGGATGAGTTCTTTGATGCTGTGGAGGCCGCTCTGGACCGACAGGATAAAATAGAGGAACAGGTACGTTTACTCGAACATTGTCCGTCTCACATGTCGCACCCCAGCATATATATCACTGTGGTTGGCGCAAAACCTTGTATCTCCATTTTTCAGTTTTTGACATAATTTAAAAGTCCCTGTTGCTCTTTACGTTGTTTTTAAATTTTAAAAAATGGCCCAAATTTACATGGGAAAAGGTCTGGTTACATTGACTTGCATTAAGAGCAGAGTACATTTTTTACTTCTCCTGTAAAGTTTTGGAGATATGAGGTTTTGCAGCGATATACCTCAAACACACTTCCAAACCGCAATACAATTATATGTACGCACCTGTTTTAAATGGTATTTGTGTGTGTGTAGACGGAGAAGTCTCGGATACAGAGGCCCAGCCCCATGCCTTCAGGAGACGCCTACTCCACTATGGGCACCCACCGGTTCGCTGAGAAGGTGACTGACACTTTTCCTCTTTAATCTGGCTGAATGTGTCTTCTGATAAATCACCGTACTTTAACACACTGTATACACTGCCTTGCCACAAGTTTGGGAACACCTAGATTTTTTTATGCATTCTTTGTTGATTTACAATAATTTGACTTATTGGGAACAATGCATGCCCATACACTAAGTGTTGCAAAATGTTGGAACATTGCTGTGAGGATTTGATTGCGTTCGGCCACAAGAGCGTTAGTGCGGTCTGGTACGATGTTGGAAGATCAGTTCTGGATCACTGAATCACTCCACTGAACGCAGTTCCTCTGCTCCACAGCCCAGTACTGGGGGCTTTATTATCCTTCTAGACAACACTTGTCACTGGGCATGGTGACTTTAGGCTCCAGAGTATCCCATCATATTGGTCAGTACTTTCCTGTGGAGATTCTGTAAGCTGTTTGTGTGCAACTGAAGACCTGTGTCAGCAATAAGCAACATTAAAATACCTGAATTCACTTATCAGAAGCCCTGTCTGGGTGCTGATTTATGATGACAAAACCTCAGCAAGGTTTTTCTTACTTAAAAAATAATAGTGTAAACCAAATGATACTCTGAAAGTGGGAAAAAGAAGGCAAAGTGTCCCCAAACTTATGGCATGCATAGTATGTTGTTAAACATTTTCACAAATTGTCTTCTGTGTTCCTTTCTCTGATTTGAATGTTATTCTCCATATTCTTGTCTTGTACTTCTGTCTCTCCTTCTCTTGTGGTAGTATTATCAAGATGTCAAGGTGCCTGAACTTAACGCAAGTCCAGTCATCTTGACTTTCTGTTACTAGATAATGCAACTACGGGGTGATTCAAAAAGATTCATCCGGTTTCAAAATGATTTATTTCACTTGTAAATCATTACAGAACAGTGCGGTAAACTGTAAGTGCTCAATATGCCTCCTTCAGCTGTGCGGACAACATCAACGCCATAGTCAAATTCATCCCATACTCGATTGAGCATGTCAGGTGTCGCTGCACTCACGGCTCTTTCAGTGTGATTTTGGAGATCATCCAGTGTTGTTGGGAGTGGCACATAAACAGAATCCTCAACGTACCCCCACAAAAAAAGTTACACGGCATGAGATCTGGTGATATTGGAAGAGAGTGGCAGAGCCAAGTCGTGCGGCCAATCCAGCGATGAGGGAGCTCGTTGTTGCGCTCCATCCTGCTGAAAAAGGAAGTTATCAGATTCAGCATGCAATTGTGGGAAAAGCCAGTCTCGTAACATTTGCAGATATGAGTTTCCTGTAACAGTGTTTTCCAAGAAGAAGAAAGGATCGTAAATCTTTTCTCGATCTTTTCTTCTCAAACATTACGTTATGTGGAGTCTTGCTCATGCTCGACTGTTGCATGGGGGTTCTCTTCACCCCATATTTTTACCTTGTGATGGTTTACCCCTTAGATGAAAAGTGACTTCGTCACTGAACTCCAAGTGCTGATGAAAATTGTTGTCTTCTGCGTTCTCGAGCATAAAGTCACAAAATTCCACACGTTTTGCTTTATTCTAAGGTTTTAGCGCTTGCATAAGTACGGTTTCATCACCAACCGTCACCTCAAAACAGGCCAGACAGTCGTCTGGGGGAGTGATAGTCTCTGATTCGTTGAACGTCTTCATCAGAAACACGAGGTCGCCCTGTGCTCTTCCCTTTACCTTTCTCTTGGAACTGTTGGTACCAGCAACGAACGCTCTGAGCTGTTGGAGGTTCACTGCCGATGAAAATCACATTGCACAGTTATGACTGATTCACTCTTATTGAAGTGCAGAATGCAAAACGCTTTCTGCTCAGGGGTCGCATCTCCTCGCAGACCGAAGGGAGCCATCTTCCAGTGACAGTCAGGAACTCTATGACCCCCTCTTTCAATTGGATTGTGATTGGTTCCTAGGCGCCTCACGGTTGTAAAAGAATGGCGCTTTGAAGTCGCATGAATCTTTTTGAATCACCCTGTACCTGGAAGACTGAAAACATTCATAGACATATTTCTCTGTCTCCGGCTTTCATTTTATGACTGCTTACCATGAATTGTTTCCACTTTTTCTCCATCCTCTGCCTCTGCTCCAGTCTCCCTCTCCACCCTCCTCCCCTCTGTCCTGTGCTGTAGCCCTCAGCCCCCCTCTTCACCATGAGCACAGGTTCAGTGCTGAGGTAACAGCGCCCCCTGTGTAACGCTGTGCTCTGTTGCACTGCAGATGATGAGCAGGTTGTAGTACAGCAGTGTAACGGCGTGTCACTGAAGCAAAAACCTAGATTAACCTAAAACATACTTGGATAGGACATGATTGCTTATAGAAATATTTCATCCAAGGAATGTTAAACTAGAAAAGAAAGAAAATCTAAAGAAAGTAAATCTAATATTGATGCATTATTTAGTTGAACTGTCTCTTCTTGCTTTTTTTGTGGGTTAGTTTTATTTGTAATAGGTCTGTCACAGTTATTGCACTTATTTGAGATGATTGCAGTAATTTTCCACAACACTGTCATGTTTTGAAACAAACAAAAACAAGAGAAGATAATCCTTTATTAGTCCCACAGCAGGGAAATTCACATTGTTCTGCTTTCTGACTGTGGTATAACACCTTTAGGCTGGCTTTACATAGTGAAACTTTAAAGTAAATTGAAATTGAAAATAAATTGCACTTGAGTTGCGTAATATTAACGGTCCAGCAACTCACTTGAAACTCAGCTGTAACCATCTCAGCTGTGTGAAATTAAATTGTTAATCTCAATTAAACAACATGGCTGTTAATTTTCAGCTAAAATCTCAAGGTTGTGACAGGCCTGATTCCTAATCTGTTTCAAGAGCTTAAGTGAGTTGCTACTAAGGCTGTACAGTGTGTTGTTTATTACTCATAACTGCAGTATTGGCTCTTGCCACACTGCTATTGCAAAAGGCTCCAATATCCAATCAGCCTTTTAATAAATTATAAAACTTATCACTGTGTGCCGTGAGCTACTTTAACGATGCCCTAGTTGCTGCTCATATGGCTGAAATGAAAAATGTTTAGTTTGCATGAAGCTTGTGTTTTGATGGTGTTTTGGTTTTGACATTGTCTTGGTGGATAATCATTTTAATAAATGCCCTCAGAAAAAAAATTGCGGAAGTCAGAAGAAGCCATGAGGTAGTTATCATTTTCTGGATTGTTAATTATCTTGTAATAACAAGTTACTTATCTCAAGATAACAAAAGTTTTCTTGAGATAACGAGTTCTTGCTATCTCAAAACAAAATTACCTTGAAATAAGTTACTTATCTCAAGATAACACAATTATTATCTTGAAATAACGAGTTACTTATCTCAAGATAACAATTATCTTGAAATAGTTATCGTTATTTCAAGATAACAAAATTATCTTGAGATAATGAGTTTTTATCTTGCTATCTCAAGATGAAATTATAAAATAAGTTATGAATCTCTAAAAAAAACGAAATTGTTATCTTGAAATAAGTTACTTATCTCTAGATAACAAAAGTTATCTTGTGATAATGAGTTCTTTATCTTGCTATCTCAAGATAACAATTATCATGAAATAATGAGTTACTTATCTTGTTATCTCAGGATAACAATCCAGAAAAATCTCATGGCCTTGCCGGATTTCTGTAAAATATGACCAACTTTGTGATATTTTTACACTCGCCGCTTTTTCGTTAGTGTAAGTTGTCTGTTGTGGATGTAGCAGAGAGAAGAGTCTGAGTGGAAGTAACATCTGATCCTCACTCTTCCTCTTTCTTTCTCTGTTCCTCTCTTATCCGTTACAGGTGGAGGAGATGGTGCAGAGTCACATGACGTACTCCCTTCAGGATGTAGGCGGAGATGCAAACTGGCAGCTGGTGGTGGAGGAGGGAGAGATGAAGGTGAGACTATAGGAGGTATCTGGAGTTTCCAGAAAGAGTACTGGTATTCACTCTCAGAAAACAGGTACTAAACTGTCACTGGGGCAGTGCTCCTCTCGTCACTGGGGTGGGACCCTCAAGGGTCCATCTCAGTGCCTTTAGTCAGGGAACATAACTGAACCATAATCCACTGAAATGATATGTTCTAAGCTGTACTGACTCCACACACCCCGTCTCGTCTCCAGGCTTTTATTTTACTGTTCTGTTTAAAACATTCGGTTATGAAAAGGTACAAATACGAACTTTTCACCTGGAAAAACTTATTTAAGGTCCACAATCAGACCTTAAAACCACTGTTGTACCTTTGAGGGAACGTTTACACTGTTTGTACCTTGATGAAAGAAAAATATACCTTCACAGTACCTTTCTAACAGTGTTGTAGGGTTGCATAATACAGTGATCACTGATGTTCCAACCACTGATATCAAAGTTTATAAGTGGAGTGGAAGAATTTTTGCAGCCTGCTCAAAGTGTAATTACTCCGTTCCAGGTTTGGTATTTCCCGCACCTCTCTCAAAACATTCTGCAATCACTCCACTCCAGGTTTCAGATTTTATTTAGGGATTATTTCGGATCCCTGGTCTAAGCGTTCTGTGATCGCTCTGAACCAGCTCCACTCCAGTATTTTTCTTTCCCCTCCGCTCTCAGAGCGTTCTCTAATCACTTTGCTCCCACTCCACTCCGGGTTTTCTGTTTTCCTGTATTCTGCTCTGTATTCTTCATTCCTAGAAAATATCTATTTTATGTGTCTTTCATCTAAATTAATCAGTTTGAAAGTATTTTAACAAGGAACAATAAACATAAAATGGACCTGATTATTAAATTCAAAAACATTAAAAAAAATAATGTGTGCAGTGGTCCTTTTGCAGTATGTTGCCTTGAGGCAACATTGCGCGACAATGGGAGGAAATGATATAGAGCCGTATTCCCTGAAGTGCTGAGACCTGGCTTGTGACTGGCTAAAACCATTCCACTGTCGCACAGTGTTGCTTCTAGGCAACAAACATGTTTGTGCAAATTCTCATAACAATAAAAATTATACTGAATTTTTAAAAAAGAGGTTTAAAAGTGCCCACTAAGAGATAGTATGACTAAGTACATGCTTTTTATTGACTTACTCAGACTCTTCCTTTTATTGTTAACCCTATCATTGCCTTTAAATATATAATGTTATTGTAAATTATGGAAAATGAGTTTGTTGCCCTGAGGCAACATTGTGCAATTAAGGGCTTAACAGACATACCATACAATTCTCTTATTTTTGCTATTTATTCAAAATATATGCCTGCCAGGTTGTACATTGTTAGCCACTTTGCGAGGTGTGTTACAGCTTTTAAATTATGTGCATGTATATATGCAGGTGTACAGGAGAGAGGTTGAGGAAAACGGTATCGTGTTGGACCCTCTGAAAGCCACACACGCAGTGAAGGGAGTCACAGGTCACGAGGTCTGCCACTACTTCTGGGATACAGACGTCCGCAATGACTGGGAGAGTGAGTATATATAGAAATACCGGAAGTCACTGGTAGCAGTGTACTTAAAGGGAAAACTCCAGCATTTTTCAACTTAATCTCTATCTGCTGCATCGGTAGTGTACGATCATTTACAACAGGGCAGCAGCGTATATATACAGTGTATATATTCAGTGTATTTTCTTATCCTTCGTAAAGGACAGAAATCTTCTTCACCCTAAACACACTTATAATAGAAGGCTTTGGGCAGTTTATGCAAATAATTCAGCGATTCTGGAACTCTTCAGTTAAAATTCAATTTGTTAATTAGGCTGTAAATCTTTCAGAGATAAATCTTCATAAAAACTTTTTTAGGACATTCTCTCCTGTCTCTTCTAACACCTGTACTGTTACTGAGTGAAATGCTTGTAGTTTCAGATTTGCTGCTGCCTTCTATTGTTTTGAGTCAAATGTAAGGGACAAATGAGTCAAATGTAAGGGAAATCATCGCTGGTGATTAGGACTGTAAAAATAAATCTAAATTTGAAAATCCATCAAATTCACTGGATGAAAAATACACATACAAATGTAGAAAATGTCCATTACAATGTTAAAAGCTATCTACTGTGACTCCCAGTATGTTCCAGACCAGGAAATGTAACGGCTACCAAACACATGGTAGAACACGTCGTTACTGACCCTGCCAGTCTGAGTGCATTTATACTTACACTACCATTCTGCATGAGCTTATATTGACAATAGGACGTCATTGGTTTGGAAGTCCTATTTGGTCCTATGTACCTATTCTTTCCAACAACCATCTCATGACTTTTGTATGCTACTTGTTTTCTTTGCATTTAGAATAATAATGTGTTTAAAATGAGAATATTTTGGAATATTTGACAAGCAAACAAGGGGACAATGTAATTTCTTAAACCCAGTTACAGCCCTGCGAGTAATCGGCAGTACAGTACAGATGCAGCAGGTTAAAAATGCCATTCTTTGAATCGAATCAGTGAGTTTTAATAGCCACATTCCAGCCACACTAACACAGCATGGTCTCCAGAGTCTGTGCTCTCATGGATGATAAAGCTGATTACATGCTTTTAGGTCGCTGTAATACACTCAACCCCTGCGTCCAGCAGTCCGCTTCAGTCCGCTGCTCAGTATGGAAGAGGGCTCAGATCTCAGGCTGCTCACGCCTGTGACGTTTTCTCCTGTCTGTTTAATGCCTTTCCTTTCTGCTATCTGTGTCCCTGTAATGCACTGTGTTTTTCATTTAATTTAGTCAGTGCATTAGGCCTCATTTTAGTGCATTACCAGTATGGTGGAGGGCTACAGGTACATTGTATGAAATGAACAAATGTCCAGTTCATATTTTTAAAAAATAACAAAAGTTATATTCCATGATTGACAAACGTCAATGTAGAATGACCCATATATATACACATCATTTTTCTGCACCCTAATACCTAAAATACACTATCTGTCCAAAAGTATCCAGACAGCCCTTCTAATTAATGGATTCAGCTACTTTGCCACCCATTACTGACACAGGTGTTCAGATGCACACACACAGCTTGTATAATCTCCATTAAAAAAAAGCACTGACTAGCTGAATGGGATGCTCTGAAGCTGCTACATGTAATCCTAAGGTCACCATGCCCAATACCAAGCATGGGCTAGAGGGGTATAAAGCCCCCCAGCACTGGGCTGTGGAGCAGTGGAACTGGAGTGATGGAGCTCCATTCATCCTTTGGGATGAGTTGGAATGATCCAGAACTGACCATCCAACATCAGTACCTGACCTCACTAATACTCAATCAAATCCTCACAGCTATGTTCAACATCTAGTGTAAAGCCTTCCCAGAAGAGTAGAGGCTGTTACTGCAGCACAAACTCACATTTCAGAAGAAGTGCTGGAGGAACAGGTGTCCACAAACTTTTGGACATATAGTTTATCGAATTTCAGATGCCTGAAATATCTGAGCTTTCTAGTCCACAGGATTTAAAATGTGGAGCTGGCATGCCGTTGATCACACGTCTCCTAAAGGCTTTAGACTCCATAGCCTCTTATAAGGAAACACCAGAGAACTCTAAATTCTGCAGTATTAGTGCTGATTCAGTATTCGTTGCTTTTGCAATAATCTTTTTCTTTCTCTTTGTTTTTTTTTTTATTTAAATTTCAGCCACTGTTGAAAACTTCAACATAGTGGAGACATTATCAGACAACGCCATAATCGTCTACCAGACCCACAAGGTAAGACAGCTGACACCAGCAGAATGCATTCATTCTTTTTGTTTGTCACTGATTATGGCTGCTGGGATTCTTTTAGCAGGTGCTGAGGTTTAGTGCTTCCTCAGACCTGATTGTATTATGGCACGATTCCTAATAAATATTTAAATCTGGTGCATTTCAGTTTATTTTAATGTGGTATCTTGCATATCGCTGCTGTCGGAACAAAACCTCGTATCTCCATTTTGGTTGTTTTTCAGTTTTTGACATAGTTTGAAAGTGTGTGTTGCCCTTTACATTATGTTCATTATGTTGATGATGAATGGACCAAACAAAACGGCCCAAAATTACTTGGAAAGAATTCTGGTTCCATTCACTTACATTAAAAGTAAAGTATGTTTTTTGCTTCTCCTCTAAAGTTACCATTTTAGAGATACAAGATTCCGGCAGCAGTAATATGGAAATTTCATAAGTCACTTTTACCTCTAACTTGGGTTTAGCGGTTTTTTTTTGCTTAGCGATTTCTCCGAGAGGTTTCTTCTGACCGTGTCTGAATGTGTTGATTTGGTTTAACTCTGAGCTTTTGTCTGGCAGAGGGTGTGGCCTGCGTCACAGAGAGACGTGCTGTATTTGTCGGCAATCCGTAAGATCATAGCCAACAATGAGAATGACCCTGACACATGGATTGTCTGCAACTTCTCTGTCGACCATGACAACGCCCAGGTATTAAAAAAAAAAAAGGAGACATTGGTTGAAATTATATTGCTTGGCTGATAAATTGGCCAGTATTAAAGTTCCAGAGATTTATTGGCATTGGTGGAAATTAAAGCTCCATGATAAAGCCTCTTTAAACATTCTGTAAGGAAACAACTTTCCAGAATGTGGTGCACCAACCAAACATACTGTTGAGAACTAAAGGAACTTTGAAGAAGTTTGACGATTCAGAATTGACAATCATGTTGGACAATTGAGTCATATGAACAAGTAAATCATTGGTTTTTTGAGGCTAAGAATTTTTGACCATATAAAACTCTGATGGCTGACATTATACGTTATTCAAGATTTTAACTCTTTAAAAATGTAATTGATGACCAAATTTTCCAAATCTCTTGGACCAAATTCTGATAAATGACTGTTTACATTGTGATATACTTTCTCCTCATTTCAGTATTTCACTTTGTGTACTTTCAGCCAAGCAGCAGGTGTGTCCGTGCCAAAATCAACATTGCCATGATCTGCCAGACGCTGGTCAGCCCACCAGAGGGCGACAAAGAGATCAGCAGAGATAACATACTGTGCAGAATCACATACGTCGCCAATGGTGAGAGCACACTTTTAACTGAACGACACAACAATGAGCTCTATATCTCTTTTATGAATGAAGGATTGTATATGAAGTAATTATTTTAACTACGAGATGGATACTGAACTATGTAGTGTGTAATCATTACTGCAGTGTGATGTAAATGTTGTATGGTTGTTAATTCTCTGTCCTGTGGTTCAGTGAACCCCGGTGGTTGGGCCCCTGCGTCTGTTCTCAGAGCCGTGGCCAAGAGAGAATATCCCAAATTCTTGAAGCGTTTCACCTCCTACGTGCAGGAGAAAACTGCCGGCAAGCCCATCCTCTTCTGAGCGCTCAGGTGACTCTTCCAGAACTTTCTCTGACTCTCACTGAAAATTTTGAAAACTAAATATGACACGTTTTTTTTTTGTTTTTTACCTTTTGGTATCCGTTGTTTTTTGTCTCCTCTTATCTTGTTTTCTGTCTTGCTTTAGTGCATTAATTACTGTTTATTTACATTTTAATTTTCTGTTGTTTTGATACTTTGTACACTGACAGATGTCTTAAAAGGCACTCTTTCTTCTTCTTCTTCTTTTAGGCTTATACACAGGTGTTCAAAAGTTTGGGATCACTGTTTTCAATAAAATGGTACAACAGTGTTGCAGATTAGTGTCAAGCTAGTTTATTATTATTTTACTACTCTAAAAGGTTAGACTTTAAATAATTAGTACAAATCTGTTTAAAAAAAAACAAAAATGTGTCCAGAATGATGAAAAGAGCTGTAAAAGACTCTTAAAATGACCAAGCTGATAACGTATCCCAAAAAACGTTTGGGATAATAATTTTTTAGATATATTGAATGAAGTTCATCTTGTGGTATTACTGTTACTGAATCCAGTTATTTATACCTACACTGATTCCAAACTTTGAAAATTAAGTGTTTTCTTAAGTTACTAAATTAAGTTATTGAGCAATAAATGTTGTTTCTCCACAGCCTGAGCGTACAGCATCCCTCTCTACACTCCCAGCTACAGCACCCCCCGACACTGCAGCCCCTCTTCTCCAGACTGTTCAGAACCATGGCTGCCACAAGAAGCAAACTACATTACCCATGAGTCATTGCTGCAGTCCCTGCTGCATGCCCTGTAGGCTTTAAAGCGGTCCTGTGGCTTTAACCCATTCACTGCTCCTGTGCCCCTGTGCTAGCACTCACACAGAGAGGAGTACAGAGATTGCCAAATGTCAACATTTGTTCTGAATTTTCTGGCGCGCATATATATATATATATATATATATATATATATATATATATATATATATATATATATATATATATATATAGTGAAAGATATTAAGATATGTATCTATGTACGTATGTGAGATAAACAAAAAGGTTTATATAATAGTCATTTTGAAGATGAAAACAAATGAAAGGCTCTATTTTAGTCCTGCTTTTGGTCATTATGTTTGTTTTCCCTGTTTTTTGTTTTTTTTTGTTGTATTTTATTTTACTTTTTATTTTTGGAAGTAGATTTTGTGGTGATGCTTTACTGTAGGGCAGCGTTCATAAGACTACATGACATCTACACAAGCCCTTCGTAACAGCTCACATCGCTGTGATATACACTAAAACACACAACTCCAGACTGAGTCAAAGTAATGAGAAATTGAACAATCAACATAAAGTTTAATTTGGGGCTACTTTGCAAATTTCTCAGTCAGTAAAAAAACATGCAAAAGCTGAAGTGGAAGCCTATCACAGGAACGAGTGGGATAAAAACCACTATTAACAGACAGTAGATTTGAAATATATGACGGCAAGTCACCAGTGAGGGCCTAACATATAAAACAATGTATCCCGCACCTGTTTGTTAGAGAACGCCATCCGACTTTTGCATATAAAATACAGTGATGAGTATTATTATCCCAGTGACAAAGACGAGCAGAGTGATAAAGTCCAGTTACTTGAAGGGGAATTCCAGTGATTTTTAAAATGTATGTACAGTTCAGTGTGTGAGATGTAAACAGAGTGATTCAGAGTGGTTTGGTGTGAAATGGTTCAGATTTCTTTACAGTGGTGGTGATAGCAACCAGGGGTCACCATGTCTACAACACAAATATAGACATTTTATTTACTATCAAAACCACCAGTGAACCTACACGAGTCTTCTGAGATTATATGGATTGTTGATGATAAAATAGTGGAAAATCTGGGGGAGAGAAAAGTTCTCTTTGAGGGCTGTTTTACCTTATAACACCTTATGTACCTCTCAGCTGTGAATAGATTTTAAAAAGACGTTTTAGGAGCCAAAACTCTCTCAGAACTATCATAAAACGATGTCTCTGTTTTTCAGGCATTGCATTTATAACCATTTCATGTAATAACTGAGGGAGCTTTTAGAGGGGGACGTCTGGTTCCTATCACCACCACTGTGAACAATTCTGACTCACTACGTTTCTCAAGAACAGAGCGTTTCACACCAAACCACTCTGAATGACTCTGTTTACATCTTAACAGTTTGATTAGTCAGAAAGTTTGAAAAATTGGTGGAGTTGCCCTCTAAGAGTGCTTGAATGCCTATAAATAACACTGTGTAGGTTTATACTAAGCTGCCATGTACCCTTATAAACGCTGCCCTACAGTAGTGTTGGCTTTTTCTTTGGGTTGTTTTCCTGGCTGCTTTTCTCCCCTCCATGCTGCTAATACTCTAATACAGAACACAGCGCTTGGGTCACCCCCTCCACCGTCCCCAAGAACATGCTTGTATCTCAACTCTGAGGGCTGTCATTGACCTGTGACCTAGAACATGACCTATGACTTTGCCTTTTCGTCTCGATCTCTTTGATGAAGCCCGGTTACCCGGTGCTGACGAGGAGGTGGTTTGGAAAAGCATTTCTTATTTTTTCTTTTCTTTATTCCTTTATGTTGTTGTTGATGTTTATTGCTGTTGTTAATTTCTTTTTTTTTTTGTCTCCAGGAATCTCTAAATTTGTAAGTTTTTAGTTGTACCTGTGTGCCATTAAGCGGCACACCGTAGCACAATTAAGGATCAGTAGTGCTAGACGAGAAGTGGGATTTTTAAATAGGGGCAGACGGACGTTTTACGTCCCGGTTATTTGTATATAATTTCGTAATTATTGCTTCAACTGTGTGTGAGATTGTCAGCCAATGCTTTTGCGTGATTCATCAAAACTCCACATGCCTTAGAGAGGGGTGAGTGCGAGCGCGAGAGTGCGCGAAATGAGCAAACTTGAGTCTGTTTGTGAGCGTGTTCGTCTTCGAGGAGTGAAGAGGGGTGCGATTGTCTGTATAAATCACTAGTGAAGTGCCTCAGTCTAGACCATACATCAGAAAACATGCTGAGTCTTCTCCATGCGAGGTACCTCCCATAGCCATGATCTCTGAAAGCAGAGGGAAGGCTCGAAAAATGTCCAGCGTCTGACGTTCGTACTGAAATGAAGATAAGATGATTTCTTAACTCTTATTAGTCAAACTATGTGATTTTGCAATCAGCAGGGGCAAAAAAGACTGTCGCCTAAAGCAGATGGGCTCATTGGGTGGGTGAAATGCCAATCAGCTTTGTTATTTTTGTTTGAATAGACCTCTGAAGTCGTGCGCCATTGTGTAGTCAGCATTACGCCCATATAAGGAAGTTTGAGTCTGAGCAGATTTCCCCATGGAAAAAAGAACCTGATATATTAAGTCCTGTGCGCAATTTTCGCCAAAATATCACTGGATGCTCTGAATTACGATTTTGTTAAGAAGTTGAAATATGAATGCTGCTACATGCAAGCTCACAAAGCATCATAAGACTGGCAACCTCACCGAAATGCCCTTCGCAAGCTTCCTTAACCCTCTACTGCATGTATTATGAGAGCATAATGTGTGCAGGGGTCATTGTGGGGTACGTTGCCTTGAGGCAACATTGTGCGACAGTGCGAAGAAATGATAGTCGTGTTCCCTGAATTGGGGAGACCAGGACTGTAACTGGTCAAATGCTTTCCACTGTTGCACAGTGTTGCTTCTAGGCAACAAACATATTTCTGCAAATTCTCATAACAAAGAAAATTGATACTGAATGTTAAAAAAGAGGTTTAAAAGTGCCCACTAAGAGAAAAGAATATGGAACTTGCTTTTTGTTGACTTACTCAAACTGTTCCCTTCGTTGTTAACCCTGTCATTGTCTTTATGTATGGATAATGTTACTGTAAAGTAAGGAAAATGCATTTGTTGCCCTGAGGCAACATTGTGCAATAGAGGGTTAAATGTGGTAATGGATTTGTTTTGGCAGTTTTAGGCTACAGGTTGAGAAGCTGGTGTTGGTATATAAGTGTTGACGTAGCCTCACTTTCATGCGCCATCAGTCCAGTGTGCAGGGGCGTCAGCTTGCTTGTAGCCCTTTTAGTGTTTTCCCTACTTAACAACCTCATTTTTCAAAAGATCCAGTGATATTTTGTTCCATTTTCTGAAAACACCATTCGTTTTTCATTCCTTTTATGGGCACGACGGCGACTGCAGAGTGACGCCAGCTTCACAGGTCCACAGAAAGAGACAGGGTCCAAAGTCAGGGATCGTAGATGGATTAGAATGGATTGAAATTATTTATTGTTTATGCAATACCTCTTCCAGTGTCATGTAATCATAATATATGCGTTTACAGTGACATTAAAGGGCCCATATCGCACAAATTTATCTCGCTTTTTTCCAAGGGGATTTAAACATGTTAATAGTTTCTAAACGCTGTTCCACACAGTCCACATCGCTGCTGTCGGAACAAAACCTTGTGTCTCTGTTTTTGTTGTTTTTCAGCTTTTGACATAATTTGAAAACATCTGTTGTCCTTTACATTGTCTGTAAATTTCATGATGAATGGACCAAAAGAAACGGCCCAAAATGACTTAAGGGGAAAAAAGTCTGGTTCCATTGACTTCCATTAAAAGTAAAGTAGGTTTTTTCCTTCTCCTGTAAAGTTACCATTTTCGAGATACAAGGTTTTGTTCTTGGACACTAAGCTGCCATTTTGCATTCATTGTTTTTGTGATGTCGCATTTACAAATGTACACCTTTTCAGCATACAGCAGTTGGGCCTGCTCATTCACGTTTAAGTTAGTTAAGTTTTTGACTGAGGCAGCCAATCAGATTGAAGCTTATTTACATATATCAACTATAAAAGTGCAGCCTGTTCAGTTCTACGGGATAATAAGGTTGGAATGCGTCATGTATACATGATTTACGACCTTTTTAATCACCTATATCCTTTCAGACGGTCAGAAACCACACAAACGTCATAAGTAGGGGGAAAAACATACAATGCGAGACAGATGTAGGTTATGGGCCCTTTAATGCAGCTCAACTCAAGGTCTGATGACAAAGTTATAAGCAGTTTGGAATCAAATTGGATTCCCAGTATTTGGGAACTGTAAGCTTTAGAGGTCTGAAGGCCTTGGTCTTTGCCCTGTTCTGTTAAATGAGGCGGAGGACTGTTAATGAGGTATTAGAGGAAAGCATCAGCTCTCTTTAATAGCTACACTTAACGCAGGGTGCCCAACTCCACGTTTTGGCTTTTTGCCACCGTTTTTGCCATCTTCTTACTTCAGGATCACTAATGATTTAGGAAGAATGGCTTGGCATCAAACTAGGAGCTCAAACAAACATTCAGAATGTAGAGATGAAATTCTTGAATACACTGTTGAAACGTTCTGAAACGTCTGCCGATTGGAGGGTTTTCATAATGCGATGATGGGAAGCAGCCAATCAGGAGTGGAGTTTTGCACCTACCTGAAGCGAATGGGTGCGTGTTTGTGTGCCAGAATCGGACGTCCCTCTAATACCAGTATAGTTTGTCATTGTTGCATTTGCACTGAATGTAATGTAATTGGAATTAAACAACAATGTTTCTGTAAATAAATAAAATAGTCACACTAAGTGTGTCTGAATGGATTGAATTGAGGAAAAAAAACACATGCACAGCACATTTATCACCAAAAAGTGCTTATTTAATCATTTAATTTTTGATTGGACTTATTAGAGCCAGTTTAATTTTTGCATATTTATCTTAATAAATGTTAGAAAGGTCACATTTCATTAAGATTCATACAAAATTAAGCTCGAGAAGAAAATTCTGACGTAACATTGAGAGATTTGTTTTACTTTCATAACACAGCATCATATTTATTCAAACATTTTCTGCATTTTATAAAACAAAAACACAGCCATAAAGAATTAAAAAATATATTAAACTAAACATTCATTGGACGGCGGGATCAGGAGGATATGGCTTCTGCTGAGAAAGAAGATTATGCATATTTGCTTTTGTTAATAAAAGCACTAAATGCACTTAATTAGGGGAATTTCAGCATAAACGTTTGATGTAAAGTCCAGAGTGGTTGGATACGAAACGCCCCGTTCTGGAGAAACGTACCGAGCCAGAACTGTTCACAGTGGTGGTGATGGGAACCAGACGTCTGAAGAGTTTAATGCCTCTGAAACGGAGGTGCCCGAAGTGCCGTCTGCTGGCCAAAGTTGGCCTGTGAGGACATTAAATTCTTATTTTTCTTTTAAATTTGTGGCAATTCACATCAACCCACTCTGACAGTTTACATCGCAAAGAAATTCTGGTGGCATTCCCCTTCAGCACAACCATGATGTCAATGCATATTCAGCGACACACACACATATACACACAACACTCCAGACAGAATGTGTGTGTGCTCTCCACAGAGGCTGTATGGCACAGAAACGTCCAGGCTGGTCCGTCAGCGAACAGCTCACATACACATCCAAACACAAGCAGAGCTAAACAGCTGAATCCATTCACACACAATACTTATTAATAAAGGATTTTAGCACCTGTTTACACTTGCTTCTTGTGCTTATGTCGGCTTAATTAAAGAGGAATTACACTTCCATAATTAAAGGATTAAGATGTAAACAGAGTCATTCAGAGTGGTTTGGTGTGAAACGCTCTGTTGTAGAGAAACCTGCTGAGTCAGAATACTGAGTCACAGTGGTGGTGATAGGAACCAGACGTCCACCTCTAAAAGCTCCCTCACAGAAAGTTACTACAAACAGATATGAATACACTGCCTGATGTCTGAGACACTGTTTTATGACAGTTTTGTATTTTATAATCCATTAAATAGGTACATGGAGGTGTTACAAGGCAGGTTTTGGACAGTAAATAAAATGTCTATTTGTGTTGTAGTCATGGCGACCCCTGGTTCCTATCACCACCACTGTAAAGACATCTACGTCATTAAGGCTCTCTAAAATAAACCATTTCACATAAAGCCACTCAATGACTTAACAACTGAACTATGCAAACATTTTTAAAAATTGGTGGTACGCCCCTTTTTTCAGCCTGGTACTAGCTTAGTGCATTTCGGTCTGTTACCATATGAAGATTAAAGTCAGACACCGTTCAGACTGCAGCCGTGACAGTCTGAAGCATCACAGGTTTGAGATGAGTTTCCTTTTGTTTGTTAACAGACATTAAACTCAGTTTGGCAACATTTCTTTAACGGTCATTATTCCCAGCTTACAACACACAAACTGCACAACAATGTTTGAAATATGGTTCAAAAGAAAACACAAAATGCTTGAAGGAATCAGGTTCAGGATACCAAACACCAAAGAACGTGTCCAAGCGTTTAACCCATTTATGTTCAACAAATAAATACAGCATGATGAGGATAAATTCCAGAGAACTTGGTCTGATTGGTTTAAAGGGAACCCGTGCCTATTTGAATTTTTTGACCACGTGTAGTTTCACATTTCTATTTACAATCAATTTAAATAGAATTTCTGTTCTTTTTTTAAAACTCTGTCCCAAAAAAGTGGCCAAAAAGCTGAATTATATACAATAAAGTGACAATTTTTTACCCTCATGTTCTTCTTGATTATATGGTATTTTAGCCATAATATTCAGGTTTGGGCTCTGACAACATATGGAAATTTATATTTCATCTATGGACATCAACGGATTAAGCCAAACTGATTCATGTAACAAAACTAGTTAAATTACTCAGTCAGGCCATTAACTGTGGCTGTTCTTTCCCTTTTACTGTTAAATAAAACAGGTTTGTGAAGTTCGTAAGCAACTAAACATGCATACGCTCTGCCTTGACAAAGCACGCTTAATAACAACAGTGTTTCTCAAGTCTGCACACAGGCGTCCATCACTGTCCGAACGCCGGTGCGAGCTCCCCCACAACCTGAAATATTTATTTGGTTTTTAATCTTCTGTATCTTCTTCTTGTACTTGGTGTGTTTTCATCGACTCAAAACAGCCGATTCACAAAAAAAGTCCTGAGAGTGATTTTGGCAGCCATAAAGCTGCATAATGTAGACTCCATTTCCCAGAACGCTGCAGGGTGTGTAACCTCAGCCTCGCTCGTGGGCTTACAGTTCTCACGAAGGCTCCCTCGGCGATGATTCAGACATTTCTGGGAGGTTGACTTTTGATCTGGGTATGGAGAAAACAACAAGAGACGTACAGCTGAGCTTTACAATACGTTTTTGGTACCATCAATAATTACTGCTCAATACACACCGATCAGGCATAACATTCTGACCACCTCCTTGTTTCTACACTCATTGTCCATTTTATCAGCTCCACTTACTATATAGGTGCACTTTGTAGTTCTACAGTTACAGACTGTAGTCCATCTGTTTCTCTGCATACTTTGTTAGCCCCCTTTTACCCTGTTCTTCAGTGGTCAGGACCCCCATGGACCCTCACAGAGCAGGTACTATTTGGGTGTGGATCATTCTCAGCACTGCAGTAACACTGACGTGATGGTGGTGTGTTAGTGTGTGTTGTGCTGGCCTGAGTGGATCAGACACAGCAGTGCTGCTGGAGTTTGTAAACACCTCAGTGTCACTGCTGGACTGAGAATAGTCCAGCAACCAAAAATATCCAGCCAACAGCGTCCTGTGGGCAGCGTCCTGTGACCACTGATGAAGGACTAGAGGATGACCAACACAAACTGTGCAGCAGCAGATGAGCTATCGTCTCTGACTTTACATCTACAAGGTGGACTGACAAGGTAGGAGTGTCTAACAGAGTGGACAGTGAGTGGACAGCACTGCTGTGTCTGGTGTGTATAATAATATAATGGATATGGTCAGTACTTCTAACTGTGTGCATCATACATACAAAAAAGATAACAGCATCTGTAAACAACAACCAGTGTATAGTAACTGTATAAACTACAGAGTAAGAAGTATTAGTTATTGCATCGTGTATTATCGAATATTATTAAATATATCTTATTATCTATATGCAGTGGCTGACAAACCCTACTCACAGTACAATTAAAAACCCTCTGCAAACTCAAACGTGCTGCAAATACAGAAAACACGTTCATCGAAATGACTATCAGAGCTACATTTTACAAACACACTGCAACTAAAGAAACAAATAAAACTTCAGAAACGCTGCAAAGCCAGTCACAACAATGGAAATGCATCTGAAAGACTCAAAGGGGGCGCTAGATAAGACCACAGACACTCGGACACTCACAGCCTGAGCTCATGGTTAACCTGGCTGGCTAGTTTGCCATCTAACACGTCGTAGCTGTGCTGTGGTAGTTAATCTGGTGTTACTAGTTAAACTATTACAGCTAAAAGTTAACTAACTTTTACCGGTGAACTTTTGTGCTGCATTGAATTTGAAAAGTCTGAATGGCTCCATCCTCTTTGAACTTCCTCTAGAAACACCTCCGCTGTGTTGTGATTGGCTTATCAGCGTTTCTGAAGTTGCACGTGTTTCTGTATTAGCAGCTCGTTTATGAAATTTAGCGCCTGTGTTGTCATTTTGATGAAGCTGTTTTCTGCGTTTGCAGCTCGTTTTTTCATTGGGTCTTCTCGGCCACCGTATCTTTCCATCTAATAACATCTGATGCTGAAGAACTTTGTTTACAAAAGCGTCTCAGTCCCAACAGGAAAGACTGCATATATTTTCTCTGATCCCAACACATCATGTCAGATTGAACTGTTTGACAGCAGCCCAGTGTTACCAGTGGCATTAGGTGTTTGGATTAAGAAAACCCAAAAAACGAACTGGGATTAGAAACCACTGGGACTGAAAGTGGAGGCATTTAATTAAACGACACTTCAAGCGAGACTTTCCTCATTCACTTATTCCTTCAAAGCTTTGTGGGTAATGTAGGTGCATGTACCTGTTGAGAGTCATGTGACTTTTGACGAGGTGGCCAGCAGCGAGGGCGGCCATGAGGGACAACTCTCCGGCCATCACTGCGGCACAAACCACCTGCGCCAGCGTGCGGGCGTTTTCACCGGGACAGTCTACACTCGCGCCCTGCACACCCAGCATCTGCACATACAGGCAAACACAAAACTCTCTTATTCCACTTATCGTCAAAATGATCTGAAGATTGATTACTTGATTATTTATGTAAGTCAATTGTGACACTGTAAACAGGCTTGTTTTTAAAAAAGATCAAAGTTTACTGAACAATATTAAACCATGCATGGGCACCGAGAGATTCGTAAATACTAGAGGTAGACGATACGGCAAAAATATCATATCACGATACGTAACATTCCTGTTACCTTTTTATTTTCACCATAAATTTAAAATTTATTTAATTTTAATCATTTTATCATTTTCGGTTTAAATTATGTAAATTTGAAGATAACAGGAGGATTAAATCAAATTCACAAATCACATTTTTAGTAAAAAATGCCATCAAAACTATTATTCTAATTTAGCTAATTATTCAGTGTTTTACATACTGAACAGCACTGAATGCTGTTAAATTATTTATAGTGATATATAGCAGCTGCTCAGTGTCCTTTTAGTACTCATGACTTCCACAATACACTCAGAAAAGCAACAATATTTATCACAATAACAATAAATAAAAAATATTGCCCACTTTTACTAAAAGCCCTAATGAAATAATAATAATAATAATAATAAACATATCAAAGACTTAACATACGTGAAAATATTAATAAAATACTGTAGCAAAGAATGCCTATAGTTGAGTGTCTGTTTCTTACTGTGACAGGGAAAAGTAGAGAATTTAAACAGTGCATAATTTCCAACTAATCACGACTGATTCACGGAGGGAATGAAGTGATTGTTTTTTAAACTGATTAATCATGACAGTCCTAGCGAATTTGCGTATGTATACCTGTAAACAGGCTTGCTGTGGGGGCAAGTTTGTGCCCCCTCCCACAGTGCCCAGCTCAATAGAGGGCATAGTGCAGGATATACAGAGATCCTCTCCATCTGAGCCCACTGCCTCCATCAGAGTGATACAGTTACTGCTGCCCACTGTCTGACCGGGGTCCTACAGAGACAGAGAGAAAGAGGCATGTTTAGTTTTTGTTTTGCTGATTTCACACTTTCTCACTTCACATTATTTGTGATAGGACTATTTGTGATAACGTTGCAATGACTGTCCATGATAGAGAACCTGAGAGAGACCAGGACATTAGGCCTCACCTGTCCACACGCGATGTAAACGGCCGCTACGATGTTCGCTGCCTGAGCGTTGAAGCCGCCTATGCTGCCGGCCATGGCAGAACCCACCAGGTTCTTACTGATGTTCAACTCCACCAGCGCTGCAGTGCTCGTCTTCAGCACCTAGGGGGAGCCAGAGAGCTGCATGAGACTTTAGTCTTTTCTTAGCTCACATACCAGCAAACTCAGAGTGACTGTAGGAGGACAGAAGAACAACAAACACTCTAAACTTATTCATTAATCATGAGGACAAATAAACAACAACAGACAGACAGGCAGACAGATAGACAGGCAGATAGCTCAAGCGAATATCTAAGGGATAAATAGACAGACAGACAGACGGATAGCTCAAACAAATGACTGACAGATAAATAGACATAGATAGACAGACAGACAGACAGACAGACAGATAGCTCAAGCGAATGACTGACGTAAATAGATTAATAGATAAATAGACAGACAAATAGATAGCTCAAGCAAATATCTGATGGATGGATGGATAGATAGATAGATAGATAGATAGACAGACAGACAGACGGATAGCCTGCCAGACAGCCAGATACAGATAGACAGACAGATAGACAGACAGACAGACAGATAGATAGATAGACAGATAGATCGATACACAGACAGATAATATATCTCAAACGAATGACAGACAGATAAACAGAATAATAGATAAACAGATAGACAGACAGACAGATAGATAGACAGATCGATACACAGACAGATAATATATCTCAAACGAATGACAGACAGATAAACAGAATAATAGATAAACAGATAGACAGACAGACAGACAGACAGACAGACAAGACAGATGGACGGACAGACAGCTTGGTGTGATTCTGACTGTTGCAGAGCTCATTATTATCAATAATGTGTTAATAGTTGTATATGTGGGCTCCTGGTTATACTAATTATATGATACAATGCAATTTACTTCTCTCTCTTCTCCTCAGCATTCAGACATCACTGTGACACACACACACAGAAAACTCTGTTCCTGCTTTATCTGTAAGGTCACCATGGTGCCGATAAGAAGAGACAGCATCCCCAAATAAAGGGGTTGGCAAGCTGAGCAATGGAGAGAGAGCATGATGACCCATCATATGCACTTAAGTGTGCGTGTGTAAGTACGTATGTGTGCAACAGGGGCTACACCTGACTGTGTGATCTGTTCAGAAAGCATATTTCAACTCTTACATACAAATCATACCCTTGACAGTGAGGTGGTCACACCAAACGTCTCCCGCACAATTTTCTACAGTTTAAGGGGTTAACAAAACACCAGACAGGTTTGCAAAACAAAATCATTTTAAATACAGAGTTTTTGCCACTTGGTGGCGACGAGCCTTCATTCATTATTTTCCACATTAGCACGGGTGGTTGATCTATCCCTTTAAAAGCATTAGGTTAAATCATTAAAGCTACAGAAGTCCATCCGCACCTCTCTGACCACTTTAGCCGGGATGGTGGCCTCACACACAGTGGACTTCCCTCGGCCGTGGATCCAGTTGATGGCTGCAGGTTTTTTGTCTGTGCAGTAGTTCCCACTGACCGCCAGAACACGCAGGTCAGGGAACTGCTCCCGCAGCCTGCATAAAGCCTGCTCTGTACCCTAGAGAGAGAGAGAGAGAGAGAGAGAGAGAGAGAGAGAGAGAGAGAGAGAGAGAGAGAGATTTGAATTATGTTTCATGCTTTAGACAAAATGTGTCAAGCACAAGGAAATTACTTTTATTTTCTATTCTTATTAGCCTGTTTCACCCTGAGATGCACTGGGGACTGCCCCAGCATGCACTGCAACATAGTGTGCTTTTCTAATGGCTGAGTTTGACACCCCTGCTTTAGACAAAAGGCAGATCACCAACACTGAACACTTCATAAACTCAGCAGATCAGCAAACAGCCTTTCTTCTAAAGATAATCCTCCCAGATCATTACACTAACCTCTCTCTTCCACCTATTCATGCATGTAATTTGCACATTTACTTACAGACATTTTGACGTAATTGTTTAAAATCTGTTGCTTACATTACCAGGGTCAAAAGATCAACACCACAAATGTGGCAGACATCTCCCGATATTTATTATAAATAGAGACCACTTTGCACATCATTTGTCCTCTACTGTCTCAAAAATGGCACCAGTGCTTGGACCCCATGATCGCTATTTGTGATGTAATTTGTAGATGGTCACTATAGCGGCCTCATAGCTCTCATAGCGGTCACTATAAGCTTTCTTTTCACTTTTCAGTAATGTTATCTTAATTATCATTGGCCAATGAACAGATACTGTAACTGTGATCTGGGAGAATAATGACCACAAGCTGCTGTGCTGCGTCTGGGGCGGAGTCTCTCTCAGAATTCTCTGCCTACAGTTTATTGGGTGGCTCAAAGTGAGACCATCTGACAGACATTTCATGGATTCTATTATTTTCGAGTGATTCAGGATTATTTTTTTAAAAATATACGAAATACATAAATGTGATTAAGTATGGACATTAAACATTACATACAAATAATTTATAAATATAATTTATTTCTATCTGAAAACAATCTGTTTTCACTGTTATGCCGATGACGTACAGAACCACGTCCTCACCAGCACCACCTGCCACGCCCCGCCCTGATAAGTTGTATTGCAGACCTCAAATAACGGACGCAGAGTAATTTTCTGAAACTAAACACTGATAAAACTGAAATTCTGCTCATTGGCCCCAAGTCTGTTACTGCAAATTCCACTAACTTCACATTTAATTTGGACGGTGTGACTGCAGGACCTTCAGCTGTCGTCCGTAACTAAGGTGAACTTTTTGATCGTGTCCTTTTGTTTGAACCTTATATCAGGGCTCTGGTCAAAACAGCTTTTTTGCATCTTCGTAATTAGGGGTGTGGGAAAAACTCGATTCTTAGATGCATCGCGATGCGGACGTGAACGATTCCGAATCGATTCACAAATGTCAAAAATCGATTTTCTAAATATTTAATTCATAACGTAATGTTGACGGAAAGCAAAAGGCGGAATTTGGAAGTGGGTAAGTGCAGCGCCACATAACAAAAACACAAGTGGATGAGCGAGAAATCCGACCAGCTCCCTCTGCATTAAAGCCAGGTTAGGTCAGGGGTCACAACACACATGTTAAGAAGAGCCACTTTGCCTTTCAACAAAGTCAAACCACCTTGGAAGCCGCAACATTTAATGTCCAGTATGTGTTAATGTCGTAGTATGGGCTAAAAATATAAACGAGAGCGCAGATTTACTTCGCTCTGCTTTAAGCTTCAGCTACAGCCGCTTTTCTCACATCTTTTCTTCAAAACTAGAAGAGTTTCTTGTAAAATGTCTCAGCGTCCGGCTGTTTTACGAGGCTGAAGTCGCTTCTCATTCGCCAGCTTCTCGTTCTAATTTTCCCGTTCCACCTTAAATTCTGCCTTAGGCGCCGAATGTAGCTGCTGCACCATTTAAGGTGGAACGGGAAAATTCGAAAGAGGAGCGAGTTCATTTTCGCAACTTTTTAGAGAAAGACAGTCTCTCAGCAGATTTAACCAACCGCGCTGCTTATAAATGCGAATAAGTCTCCAAATGCAAATGTTCGTCTTAATCTCTGTTTTTTCGTTCGCTACTGGCGAGGCCCAACCCCCCAACTCTCTACAACGAGACCAAAACCGAAGTTTTTTGGTCTTACATTACAAATACTTTGCTTTAAAACTACCAAGTCCTCAGACAGTAGGAAGACAGAAATCCTGTATAGAGAAAAAAGATGCATCGAGATGCATCAATAATCGTTTTATAATCGCATCGCAGCCTCTGAATCGTAATCGAATCGAATCGTGAGGTGCCTAAAGATTCCCACCCCTATTCGTAATATTGCTCGTCTTCACCCCCTGCTCTCCATATAAGACACTGAAACTCTGGTTCATGCTTTCATATCATCCTACTTAGACCCCTGCACCTCCCTTCTCTTTGGTGTTTCCTACAAAACTATCTGCGCTTTTCAGTATTTACAAAACTCAGCAGAAGTTCCTCTCTCACTCTAAAAATCAGCTCACATCACCCCAATTCAGTGTCAGTTACACTGGTTACCCGTCCCGCTTCGTATCCAGTTTAAACTCCTCTTGCTAACTTACAAATCTCTACATCAGGGGCATTTAATTCAAATTCAGTTGGAGAAAATTTCCTCAAGCAAAGGTCCGGAACTTCATAACGTCTAACTTGTATTATAACTCAGTGCCATATACTGTTTACTGAAGTAGCCTAGTAGGTATATCAACATCTTATACAGTCAACAACTGAATATCAAATCAAATAAAGTACAGTTCAGTCATATTTCAACAACATTTATTGTCAGTTTTCTCTTTTTAGATCACGCCATGTGAAATAACTTCCCTCTGACTCACTTTCTTCTCCGACTGCTGTTTCTCGCCTCGTCACTCACTCGAGTCTCAGTGCTCATCATAATCCACAGATCTGATTGGCTGAGTAGCATCACGTGTGATATTTACAACACATGCGATTGTCTGTGAGTTTCCCGGGCCGCTAAAGTGGTACAGTAAAGGCTAGAAAAGCTACGCTGATTGAAATAGGACCACCCCATCGAAATTAAATAATTCTCCATAGTTTATCAGTTTTAGGTCCAGGTCCACATAGGACAGCGTCAGGGTCCGGACTCGGACCGCGGTCCACCTATTTAACTCCCCCCAGCCTATTTAACTGATCTCCTGCACTCTCACTGCCCTGCCCGTACACTTAGGCCCTCTGACACAAGTCGTCTAGTTTTCCCAAAATGTAGACTGGTCACTGTTGGAGGCAGATCTTTCAGCGTCATGGCCCCCAAACTTTGAACACATCACTGCAATCTCTCTGTGACTGTCCCTCACCTTCCTCCTTCAAAGCTCAGCTTAAAACCTACCTGTTTTCTCAGCACTTTCACTCTTCTCCTCGCTGAGGTGTTATTATTTTTTATTTCACCCTGCCTGTGTAAAGCGATCTTGTGTTTGAGAAAGGCGCTATAGAAGTTGAACTTATTACATAATATTAATAATCTAAGAAGCCTATTTTGGCCACAAAACTACCGTGAATATTAGTGAATAATATAAGTGATTATAGTGAGCGTGAATGTAATGAGGTGTAATGTGATAATACTACATAAGAGAGCGCTGAAACACATCCACCTTTAAAGGGAGATGGGCAGTGGAGTAAAGGTCACAGAATCAAAGAGGTTATCAGGTTCCCTACACTTTATATCTGGAAAAGTCAGACCAACACATACCTTGGACAGCATGTTCATGCCCATGGCATCCCCGGTCTGAGACTGAAAGCGGATGTACAGGTTCCTGCCAGCCAGACTGATCTGCAGGCAGTCCAGCCGAGCAAACCTGCAACACAGCACAGTTCAGACAGTGTGAAACCCAACACAGCACAGTTCAGCGTAAGACCCAACACAGCACAGTTCAGACAGTGTTAAACCCAACACAGCACAGTTCAGACAGTGTTAAACCCAACACAGCACAGTTCAGACAGTATTTAGTCTAAAAGCTCTTAAACATGTCAAGACTAAAGCCCTGTTTGAGCTGGACTACCTTTACCCAGGGAGGTGCTGTAATTTGACCAATTATCTATGAGATCTTTGATTTTAAACCAGTATGAATCAGCAAAGTCTGCAGTTTCTACAAGTCTCCTAAGTAACAATTCTGGACCAAATGACCTCCTTTAATAACAACAGTCTTATTTGAATTGACCTCAGAGTGATGTAATAACAAACCCAGGAACAGACAACAAAGCTACTGCCTAAAAAGGCACAGTTCAAAAAAAAATTCAAAACAGGATTACTGTAATCTACAACATTTTTGCTGATGGCCTAATTAGAAGGAGATGGAAGTATCTTGAAAGTACTAGTGCAGTGTGACTTCTGTCTTGTTGGGCAGCATATGGTACACTGAATAAGTCCATTTTATTAGCCTAATGCAGAGGTCAGCAACCCAAATGTTAAGAAGAGCCATTTTGTCCAACAAATATCAAACCACCTATGGAGCCACAACATTTTATGTCCATTTTACCATCTTGGCTGTAAATATGTCTCAGGGTGTCCTAATGTACTAGTATAGACTAGAAATTATAATATAAACAAAAAATGCAGACTTACTTTGCTCTGCTTTAAGCTTTAGCTCAGCTACAGCTGCTTTTCTCACATCTCCAGCAGGAAACTTTTCCACAAAAGTAGAACAGTTTCTTGTAAAATGTCTCAGTGTTCGATTTTTTGCGAGGCTGAAGTCGCTTCTCATTCTCCAGCTTCTTGTTCTAATTTTCCTGTTTCACCTTAAATGGTGCCTGAGATGCCAGAATGTAACTGCTGCACCATTTACGGTGGAACGGGACAATTTGAACGAGAGGCTGACGAACGAAAAACGACCTCAGCTTTGTGACTTTTTAGTGTTTGACAGTTTCTCGTTGCAGATTAAACGTATCAGGAAACCAGCTGGAGTGACTATGAATGCAAATAAATCCATTTGTGTCCAAATTATCGATGTTCGTCTTAAATATTTCTCTGTCTTTTCATTAGCTATTAGCTAGGTGAGGCTGTTGCTATAGTGACCTGCAGTCTGCGCTGATCTTCAGGGTTAAAGGGTGAATTAGCAGTTCTACATTAACTCCAGAGTTTAAGACCATTTATTGTTAAACTGTGTTGAACGATCAGCAGAGCTTTATTTTACTGTAAAGGAGGATTATTTTATTTTTACCAGCAAATCTAATTCTGCTGTGGAGCCACAACAGGGCAGTAAAGGAGCCGCATGTTGCCGACCCCTGGCCTAATGCTATGCTATATGGCATTAACCAGAAACTTAGTTTGTCTGCATGGATTGATGTTTTGTCCCAGGCTATCCGGAAAAAATCTGAGGAAATTCCAGAGATACTTTAATTCCATACGAACTGGTCAGTCATATCCCAGAAATTACCAGACCTCTTCTGGTAAACCTAATCCAGCTCTACAACTTATGCCCTCTGACTAATTCATGAATCATTGTACATTTAAAAATAAATGGCTCCAAACATCTACACACTATTTATAAGCATTAATTTTGCATACGCACTCAAAAGCACTGCAAAGCAAGCAGAATCAAATAACACGCTGTTACATAAGAGCTGAAAATAGACAGGAGGATGGAAGGCAGCGCTAAGGATTGCATGTCAGTGTAATGTGATGTTAACACATCCTTCTAGTTGTACCACTGCCCCTTCGAAATTCGCCCTCTGACCTGCTGGTGTGGTCAAAAGCCTGCTTGACCGCGTTGAAGCCTTCAGAACTCTCCAGCCAGGATTTGACTTCTGCAGCCCTGCATGCGGACGGCAGCTGCACGACAGGACCCCGAGTCATACCGTCCGCCAGAACACACGCACTTGCCCCACCCGACAACTACAGAGAGAAATAAACACAGAATACTGAACTTTACACTGAATACTGTGCACAAATTAGTATGTATATGCTTATTACAGGGCTTGTTACTTTCAACTGAGAAATACTGCTAAAATCAGAAAAATGCTTTCCTTTCAGGATACAGACAAAATAATTCAGGCTTTTATATCGTCATTATTCCACTACCTCAAGTCCAGAAATGAGTGCTGTGTCGGCGCTGCACTGTCCTGTCTGTTTACTGTGTCTAATGTCTGTTTAATGTATTGCATTGTTTCTAGTTTAATTTTTTGTTTGCACACTTATGTCTGCAAGTTTGCACTTTGTACTCTTTTGTTCCATGTTGCACCTTGTTGTTCCTGGAGGAACGTAATTTCCCTCCACTGTGTACTTATACATGGATGGAATGACAATAAAAGCCACTTGACTTGACTTGGTTGTGTCTTGTAATGCGTTACTTACATGTCTTAGGGTGTTTTCACACTTGGGCCGTTTCAGTGTCTGAAGTGGACTCTGAGTCATGGTTTCTTTTGCATATGTGAACATGCCAAACAAACTCAGTCCCCTCTAAATGGCCCCAGAAACTAACCGGACTGTGGTCTCAGTTTGGTTCGTTTGTAGTTGGTTTTGTGGTTCGATTAATTTGTACATTGTGAAAACAAAACGGCCCCAGTCCGCTTTAGCTTTGCTTTATGGTGAAGACCTCGAGGCTCACCGTACACACAGCCACAGTCTTCAGCACTTCAGCAGGTAAAAACAGACCAACGATCGTTTATAAGGTTCTACTCGGGATAAAGTCTGTCCGTGATCGGCGACAAGACAGCAGCGCTGACTTATTAAAGCGATAAGATGTGAGAGCCCGCGTGATTTTACCGTGTTAAAGGTTCTATTGGAGTTGTGGTCTGAACGAGAAGTGGTCTGAGATCTCAAAGGACCAGAAAGAAGACTGAGTCCTCTTTAGAGTTCACTTACATTGTGAACACAAAATGAACTGAGGTTATTTGCAGTTGGCTCCCTTCCAGGTTCACTTTAACAGAACTCAGTTCGGCTGTTTTAAAACGAACTGCGTGTGAAAACACTGTTAGTCAAGGAACTATGACACGACTGCAGCTCAGGTACTTACTAGGACTAAAAGAAGGGAGCATATTACACCCATATTGGCAGCTTTGCATTGGCTGCCTGTTACTTTAAGGGTACATTTTAAAATTTTGGTTTTAACATAACAGGCGGTGCATGGTGATGGGCCGGAACATATCTCTGAGCTATTAGTGCCATATTTCAGCGCTGGGACACTGAGGTCCTCTAGTCAGGGGCTTTTAGTGTCCCTAGAACAAAGCGACAATGGAAGGGAGGCTGTGCTTTTTCAGTATCTGCTCCTAAGCTCTGGAATACTCTCCCCTTAAACATTAGATTTGCTGACTCTAAGGAGAGCTAATGTTCTCTGTGGTGTTTGGGGATGAAACTGCACTGTCTTTAGCTTTATGTTTTTGTTTTGTATTAGTTTTATTATTTTATTTACTTTATCTTACTGCAGCCTGACTTAGAAAAGTGCTATATAAATAAATGTTTGATGTTTGTTATGCAACTAAGAGTAAATGAATGTGAACAGCCACAAAGCAGCATTAGGTTTTGGTCATTAGTGGCTATTCACTTTCATTCACAAGGAATGAAGGAGCTGCTGGCTCTTCATGCCGAACACAGTACCTCTTGTTTACTAAGAGTTTCATGACTGAACGTGTGCATCCTGGTAAAATACCAGTTAAGGATTACATGTGTGAATGACACAAACCCTGAACATTACTGGTAAAAGTCTCCCGATAATGTCCTGGGTTTTCAGTCTGAAAGGGGCTGAAACACAAAGCTGTGGCCTTCTGTGTAGCCGAAGACTCCTTGTATGTGCATAACTGGCCAATAAAGCCCTGACTGTGATTCTGTAATAGGGCTGAATGATTTGGGGAAAATATCTAATTGTGATTTTCCTAAATAATATTGCGACTGTGATTTAAACATTTTCTATAAACTCATCACTTTAACTGCTCCATAAGCTCATTCCAATAGCACTACTGTTTATATTTGCACTATTTATACCCACAGATCTTAATCTGTTGTTCAAAATCTATATTTATATATATACATATATATTTATTATTCAAATTTCATTTTATTTTATATATATATATATATATATATATATATATATATATATATATATATATCTAATTTGTGCTTATTTTTACGATTAGTGTTTAGTGTTTATTTAGTGTCTATTTAAATTCACACTTTTCCTGTTTACTTTCTATTTAATGTTATTGCTACATCATGGGGTCTGAGAGTAACGCAATTTCAATACTCTGTATGTCCTGTACATATTGTAGTATTGACAATAAAGCTGACTTGACTTGACTTGACTATAAATTATATAAGTTCAGATCTTTAAAGAGGACCAGAACACTTGAGGCTTGACCACTTAATGTAATGTGCCAGAAAGCCAGTTAGTTCTGGCTGTGATGTCACAACACATGGAGGTTTAGTTGCCTTCGAGTGGTCTAACTCTATAGGTAGTATACAGCTCTGGGTTATTAGGTTTCATTTCCCCTTTTAAAACTTAAGACAATGTTTTGGATAAAGGTCACACTTTATTTGGATTGTCCCCTGTAGACGCTCTACAGCTACTTAAATCATTAACAAACTTTCTGGTGATCCTCAGTTGATTATCAACAACATTATATTTAGGGTTAGGGTTAGGGGTAGATGTAGGTTTTGCTTTGAGGTTAGGGCTGGGGTTAGGTTTAAGGTTAGGGATAGATTTAATAAACTTGTTCACACTGAACTTCAAGTTCAGTTGAATTTAATGGGTATTTAGTTGAATGTTACTGAAAGGCAGACTGAGCATTTACAAAGCATCTATAGTGAACCATCTAAGTAACATTCAACTTCAAGTTCAGTGGCATCCAAATAAACCGTTACCAAAAAAAAACTGCAAATTTTGCGATTTGAAAACTGCACTCTCTTAAATTGCGATTTCGATTTCGATATAAAATTATTCATCTTTCAGCCCTTTTCTGTATTCTTTCTAAGAAGAGTTTCTGTGGTTCATCGAGCGGCAAAACCAAAGGAATTAAAAGACACAAATAAAAGAGAGAGACTCACAGTGATGGCCCTGCATCCTCGGTTAGTGCTGGCTACCAAACAGCCTTCCGTCGTGGCCATGGGGATGTAGAACTCTTTCCCATCCAACAGCAGTGGTCCAGCCACGCCCACCGGCACCGGCACATAGCCAATCACATTTTCACAGTTTGAGCCCATCACCTTAGAGCAAGAGGAAGCAAAACACTTACACTATGTAATACTTTAATACTGAAATTAAAACTCAAAAAATTATTTCTGCGAGACGAGACTTTAAGAAAAAGTGTACTTTGTTTTGCATTAAAAAAAATCCAAAAATTAAACTACTGTCCATGAGCAAATCACAAACTCTAAATGAATGATTACACATTGTGTATAAATGTTTTTGAGTGGCTTCTAAGAACTGACGTGCATATATGTGGAAAAGGAATCTGATGCTGCCCATAACAGAGGAGCAGTTCAGTACCTTAGAGTAGTCATAGTCTCTGTAGGGCAGTGTCTCCAGGGCCAATGAGTGGGGCAGTTTACTCGAAAGCATCTCTCTCCGAATGGCCACGCCCCTCTCTGGGGTCTCCATCACCGCCTCCAAACGGTATCCCAGAATGCTCCTGTTCTCCACCAGTGCTATCACCTCAGCATCGCTTAGGAAACGTGGACCCCGCTGCACATGCGGACATGGAACCATAAACAGGGCATGTAAACAGGTCTGAAAGGCTCTGCAGATCTAAAGTCCTGTTCACAGTTTATAAGAACACACATTTTACTCACTTGCTAGAATTATTACCAGTAGATAAATAGTAGTAAATAATTTTAACATCTCTGATTACTAGTTTATCAACGTAATTAACTTGCCTCAAGCTTTTGTCTGTGACGGAATCCCAGCTATGATATTATTTGTGATAACGTGGCCTTTGAGTGCTCTATTGCTTTTATACAACAGTCGCACAACAGCAAAGTACAGAAAACATAAGCAGCGGAACTATAACGGTACGGAACAAAAAATTATATATTGCTGTTGTCATATCTAAATTTTTGTTTTTGTTTTTCAGTTTTTGACATAATTTACCCTTTACATTGTACGTAAATTTCATGATGAATGGACCAAAAGAAATGCCCCAAAATGACTTGGAAAAAAGTCTGGTTCCATTGACTTACATTAAAAGTAAGTATGTTTTTCCTTCTCCTGTAAACTCATCATTTTGGAGATACGAGGTTTTCTTCCGATAACAGCGATGTGCTGCTATCAGGTGGAACAACAGCAGCAGAATGATTAGCTGCCCTGTATTGTGCTGAATTTTGCTTTATTCAAAAAAAGCTGTCCAGGCTGAAACACTCTTTATAACTTGAGTGGGCGGGGCTACACTGCTCTAGACTGAATAAGGGATATATGTAAATGCACTGGTTTTTGCGACATCACAGAAACAATGAATTCAAAACAGGCTGTTTTTGTTTATGTTTCCGTATATAGACTGTATCGAGTGGGTAGTAAATGGTACGTTTCAAAACTTTAGCAATGTTTATATATCATATCAAAAAGGAAGAAAGTTTGGTTTTCCATGATAAATAATTTCAGACGTGTATCCCACCGATACATAAACAATCCTTTAAGACACTGGTTCCCAAATTCAGTCCTGGGACATGAGGAGGTTGTTAATTAGTTAATGCACTGAATCTGGTGTTTAAGGCACACATTAACGGGCATAGTGCAGGACTTGTGCTTCAAGACCCGAAAAGGAAAATGTACAGAGTGTAACAAAATTTAACAAGCGCATTTCATCTTGTATCTCCGGATCTCTGAAAATGCTTGTGCTAAGGAGTGACTGAGCATAAGCCCCGCCCCCTCCCCACCAACTTTACACTGGTAGGCTGCACCCTGACGGCAGACAGTGATTTCCATGAGAAACAGAAAAGAAGGTACAGTTTTACGTTCCATATCGCTGTTGTCGGAAGAAAACCTCGTATCTCCAAAATGGTAACTTTACAGGAGAAGGAAAAAACCTACCTTACTTTTAATGTAAGTCAATGGAACCAGACTTTTTTCCAAGACATTCTGGGCCGTTTCTTTCGGTCCATTTGAAATTTACACACAATGTAAAGGACAACAGATATTTTCAAATTATGTTAAAAACCGAAAAATAACAAAAATGGAGATACGAGGTTTTGTTCCGACAGCAGCGATATACTGCTTCAAACGTTCATTTTACACCCTTTAATAGAAGCACCATTAAAAAATAGTATTCCTACAGACCATATAATGCCAGACAAACATCCAGCCAGTCATGTGAATAGCGTGAGGTCTACAGGACTGATTTTGGGAACCACAGCTTTAAGAATTAAAAAGGATAATGTACCTCCGGGTCTCTGAGAATGCTCAGGCACTCCTGCAGAGGGCGAGGCTGGACAAACTGAGGAGGATCGTGTTTGAGAAAGTGGTCCCCTCTCTCTTCTAAAGGTTCCTTCTCTTTATCTCTCTGCGCTGGAAGACATGACTGTTCTCCGAACACAAGCAGAGGCCGTTTCACATCATCTAATCGAGAAAAGGAAGTGAATCATCACTGAAACATGCAAAAGCACAAATATTATGAATGAACAGGCACAAATTATGAATAAGAATAGAACACTTCACCCCTCCTATTATCGCTGGGGTCAATTTGACCAGACATGCTCATTTGAGTATGGGATGAATTTGACTATGGTGTTGATGTTGTCTGTCCAGCTGGAGGAGGTTCATACTGAGCGCTTGCAAAATTACATAATAAACTTTACGCTCCTTAAAACATTTACAGTTTACTGCACTGTTCTGTAATGATTTACAAGTGAAAATTCACTTCGAAATCGGATGAATCTTTTTGAAATCACCCTGTATATGAATGACCGGAAAGAAAACAGGGGGCACTGAAAAGCAGTAAGTGGGCATGTGGTCTAACCACATTTAGCTTTATTCATTTTACTTTTATCACACATTAGGGTTGCACAATATACATGAAATACCATACTGAAATCGCACTGCTGTATATCATGGTTGCCAAATGCCTTCCAATATATTAAACACAAATTGGTGAACGCTTGCTGTGATGTGGTCAAAGATTTGCCTGTTTCTTTCAAAATTATTCATGTAAACACACTGACTCATCCAACCGCCCGCACCCCCCCCCCAAGAAAATCTGCGATTGGTCAGGATGCTCAAAATACAGAAAAAAAAAAATCATTCAGCTCATTTGCATAGCGCAAACCTCATTGCGAACAAGTTTGTTAAGGCCAATATTGCGATAACAGTTAATACACAATATATCGTGCAGCCCAACCAGATGCTCCTATGAAGCTCTTAATGGTTAACGATTTCTTTATTGAGACCTACAATAGGCTACCTTACCTCTCTCCTCTGTAGTGCATAGTGAAGCTGTTGTTGAGTTAGTGTTCACCCTCTCTACAGCTTTGGGTGGGGTCAGTTCCCTCCTACAACACTCCTCTCCCGCTCTCCTATTGGTCAGGGCAGTATGGGGGCCGGTTATGGGGCTTTTGATGGACAGGGAGGATTCTGTCTCCGCCTGCTCAAAGAAGACATACTTCACCGCCAGCAGCAGAGCCAGAGAGAGCGTGATGACCTGCTCCAAGTCCACACTAAAGAGAGAGGAGGAAAAGAGGCCCTTAGCAAGAACTCTAACTCCATTTGTATGTTAGCTGGATAACTGAAGCTAGGCATGTAACCATACACATGTTCAGATTCAATGCTATTTTCGATTCTGAAATAAAGATTCATTTTGCTTTTATGTGTTGTTGAAATGTTTTAATTAAAAAATGAACTTGTTTTCCTACAGATATATAATACGCATAATGAAAAACAGAAACCTACCTCGTCATGGCCGTGTCCGAGTCCAGGACGGGGCTGTGCAGGTCCACAGCTGAGCCGCTGGAGTTGCTGGAGGGAGACTCCGCTAACAGCCGTGTGTGGGCATGAACCAGTGCCAGGACCAAAGACTGGACAAACACAACATTACATTAACAACAGCAAAGCCAGAACCAAAGGCTGTCTAGAACATTCTGGAAATATCTGAAACTGTCTAGATGGTTATAGAACAAATAATCATTGACAAACTAAATATTCTATACAAGTGCAAATGTCATAACTACAATAAATAAACTCAAAACAAGTTTTCAACGTTTCCAGACCAACTATTATAAATCTCTATCACTATCAACAAGTTTTAAACCTGATTATTTTTATAACATTTTCAGTTCAACCATGATAAAATCTCCACTGCTTTTACAAACAGATTTTTAATTAAACACAGGTGATTTATAATCAGATGTGCCGTCAGGCAGACTATCATTTCTCACCATGATCATTTTGACGCGTTGAGTAACAGGGTTGGGCTTGTTGTCTGCCTCTTCCTCCAGAACGCGGGCAAAATGACTCAGCTGCCAGATGGGTCGCCCCTCCCTGCTCTCTCTCGACAGCTACAGGAGACACACAGCACAAATAGTGCAGTTTAGACACCAACACCGCAAATGACTGCCATGATAGAGTGTGTACATATATGAGTATATGTACATGCATACGTTCAGATATATATCGCTGTTGTCAGAACAAAACCTCGTATCTTCAAAATGGTAACTTTACAGGAGAAGGAAAAAACTTACTCTACTTTTAATGTTTGTCAATGGAACCAGACTTTTATCCAAGTCATGTTGGGTCGTTTCTTTTCGTCCATTCATCATGAAATTTACACACAATGTAAAGGGCAACAGGTATTTTCAAATTATGTCAAAAACTGAAAAACAACAAACTTAAAAAAAATATGAGGTTTTGTTCCGACAGCAGCGATATATACACACACATACACACCAAAAAAAGACTAAGACTACTACTGAAAATGCTTCTATTTTGCATTCCTTACTAATTTAAGGCAGATTTTTCATTACAAATAACAGTTTGAGCAAAAATAGTGTCTTTAAATGTCTGTACATGAATTTCAGAATTTCTTAGTATTTGGTGGTGTGTCCCCCTTTTGCTTGAATGACAGTGTGACCAAGCTGGCATGGACTTTATAAGCTTATGAAAAAGCCTCTAATGAGCAGATCAATTCTACCACAGAGTCGTCTGAAATCCAGCTTCGAAAGTAGAGATAAAACTAGAAAAATAATCTGACCTTTTTGCATAAAGGCTTTAACACGGTCAGTGTCACAAATTTCCTTATAATTTAGTAGTGACCTAGAAATAGTGCAGAACTTCAAATATTTCCTCTTTATTTTAATTTTCATATCTTTATCTTGTATCTTCATCTTTATCATTTATCTTTATTTTATATAGTCATATATTTTTGTTTTTCAATGAAAAATTTTCGAATTGTGCAGAAATAATATTCTTTGCCAAAATTGATGGTTCTGTGATGATAAAAGGCCCAAACTGCCCAAACCTAATTATCACAGCATGTCCAGTCCTCACCTCCAGGACCAGAGAGACACAGGCCGGAAAGAAGGTCATGAAGACAAAGTAGTTGGCCAGGACGGATAAGCAGCCAAAACAGCACATGAGCTCCAGCTGCCGCACACCTGGACCGAGACAGGGAGTCATGAGGGTGGATGCAGAAGGTGAATGTAATCAGGTGAGAATACAGTAACTCCACAGGGGTCTTTTGGAGCTGCTACTAGACACACCAACACTGGTGGAGCCTAAAGATTCTCTTATATCCAAAACATCCAGATACTGTTAACTTCAGGCACAACTCAAAACAGGCTGACCGTATCAGCCGGACCTGGATCACTGAGCTCATGACTACGTTTTCAGACTGATACGGTGCTACCAGACTGATAAATGTAGTACAGTAGAATTAAATGTAGTGTAAAGCATTTTGGCAGAGAGAATCGAGTCTTACCAGACATGGTTCCCACTCCAATGACCAGGCACTCCACCACAGCATCCAGAGTGAAGGTAGGGCCCAGGATGGCCATGCCCTGAGCTATGTTCTCCCTCACCTCCTCCTGTGGGTTAAGGAACAGGGATCAGAGCCATGGAAGCTGATCAGAGGCATTATCCAAATCCTTCACAGTCTAATGATCAGAGTGGTGCTGGCAGTCTGATTACTGATTCAGGGACTTTTTCTGGAGGTCGCTTCTTCAGTATCCATCCAATCAACTCTTTTGCTGTGTAACTGTACTGTTTAAATGTACTAAAGGAAGGTTGATGTACATTAAAAATGTTTACTAAACATTTTGCCTATTTATTATTAGTAATACAAGTAGCAGTCGTATTATATGAAGTGTATAGAGAGAAAAATAAACAGAAAAATGTATTTATTAGGGATGTATCAGTGTGGGAATTCTGGGCCGATGATGCTACATAAGTACTTATAAAATGTAGAAACTGGGACTAAATTTTTTATTATAGAAAAATGGAACAATCACAGTTTAAATGCAGATGTTTTAGCACAGTAATTTGCCACCTTGTCTGGGATGATGAAACCGTCTAGATTTTTTCAGGGTAATTTGTAAGTGAACAACATGTAAAGCAAAGTTGAAAAGTATGGTTAGAAATGACTGAAGGATTTGCTTTATAAGAAAAACAGAAAGATGGATCACACCCCGGTCGTGTGCTAAGCTACAGCTAATGACTGAAAGTCTACATTAGCTGGCAGGGCGATGCCCTCAGCTATGGTGCTGTACAATACCTGAGAGTTTGAGCTGAGAGCGAACTTGGCCAGCGTGCAGGCTTTAGACAGGTCAATCAGCAACAGGAAGAAAGGCAGCGCTTCACTGGAATAAAAACATTGTGACAGGGTTACTTCAGGAGTCTCACAGACATAAACCCACACACAGTAAGAAACTGACATCAATATGCTTTCAAAATGCAGAGCTTACTTGAGGCCTGTCAGCTCTTTGCCCAGGAAGTGAATGACCACAGTGCTAAAGACAAAACTGGAGAACACAGTGAAGAGTCCAGCAATACCTGCACATAAACAACAGAGCCAGCAGGTAAAGAGTTTTGTCATACATAAAATAAAGTGCAATATGAGTAACTACATATATGGGAATATATATATATATATATATATATATATATATATATATATATATACACATATATATACACACACACACATACATACATATATATACACACACACACACACACACACACACACATTTTACATGTACGTATACACAGACACACACATATACACACACACACACACACACAAACAAACATGCAAATGTCTAAAGCTGGGCCTACACTACACATGATTTTTTTGCCCGATTTTAACCCCGATTTGCCCCTTGCGGTGAAATTTTCACAATCTGAAGCAATTTTCCAGATTGATCAGAAGCGACTGATTAAGTGCGGATTATCTGTTAGTGTGAGAGGAGAAACGAGTGAATCTTAAGTCCTCCAATCTGCTCTGAAGTGATCAGAGACCCTCCAATATTTGATATTTACGAGTCAAAACATTTATGAGTCCTGCAGTGTGAGGATGTCAGAGATTTACTCAACGAGTGATTCAAACAACAGCCAATCAGAGAGCTAGAAGAGCAGAGAAACAGGCGAACAGATGTGCATGAACAGTGGCGTGGAGACAGAGGAGCTGATAAGAGCCGATATCATGTTTATAATGATGATCCACTCGTCAGGTCACTCTCTTTACAATTTCAGCTCAGCTGCCAGTTTGTAGTGAAATATTTCTCCAGCTCACAGTGTGAAATCAGCGTTTCTCACCGCATGTTAATCCCCAGTTTGAGCTTTCGCTGCACATAAAAGGCACAAACAGGTCCAGTAAGTTTAGCTTTATTTATGTTGTGATCTCTAAAGGAGATCTGGGAGTTTGAGTTCTTATACGTAGCCCAAACTCTTTGTGTTATACTCTCTCTCTGCCCTGTCGTCTAGTCTGAGCTCCCTCACGACAAAAAGACAAGGAATTCTGTGACAAACTGACGTTAAGTGTGTGATGCTCTCCATTTTAGAAATCTGTTAAGGTTTTAAAAGTCCTGTAATGAATGCCCAGCATAAGCGGGCCAGGAAAAGTGTTCATCTTAGCACGATATAACATCAGAATATATACAAATAAATACCAACAGAGTGAAATGTAAGATTTTGTTTTCAGTGTAGTTACTGATATCTTAGGCAGTAGAATACAGTTAGAAGGACACAGGTTTGGTTCCTGTCTCCTCTCTGTACTCCAGCCAAGGCATGGACTGACTCAATTCAATCACATGATTAGACTGAATGATGAATTTATCAGAACTCGGTACTGGATGGTAACTGTAAATACTGAACTTCCATGAGTGATTTGGAAACTGTTATGGTAACTCACTCACGCACCAAATCACTGTGGACTGTTTATTTGTCTATGTGTACTTTTTATAACGTTAGTGACTGTCGTGTCTGAGCAGAAGGTTATGTGGGAAATCAGAAACTCAAGAAGCATTAATCCGGCGAAAACACTCACCGAGCATGTACTTGGAGCCGAGCTGCCTCAGATTTTTGAACTGCACATAGATGTAGACGATAGCCAGGCACCTTGTGATGGTTAAGATGATGACATCACTGCTCAGGATTTTCTGGAAGAGTGAACAAATAAAGTGTCTCCACAAAGTTCTGGACTCATATTTAGTTTTTGGAGCCCAGGTCGAAAAGCTTAACTGCTCTCCGATTTACGAGCGAGCAGCTGTTTTGGCGTTTTCCTTTTCAGCGGACACCTCGGCCTAACAGCAAGTGCTCAAACACAGTTTCCCGTCACGTTGCATAGCCTTTACGTTGTCTACAAATATGCACGTCAAAGCATAAATGAAGTATGGATCCATCAGCCAACAGCTTCAGACTGCAACTGCAATTAAGGTGTCTTTGGCTTTGTTTACACAGCAGGTGAAAGTGGCCCAAATCTGATCCTTTTCTTCATGTGACACAGATGTGTCTGTGTGGCAGTGTGAACAACAAAAACACACTGAATCTGACATTTTCAATTCCGATTTAAGATGCTTTCATATGTGGTACTGAAATCTGATATGTATCCAATATGCTGCAATGCGACTCTGTCAGAACAGAATTCATGCGACTTTTACGTCAATCCAACTCCACATTTGTCATAATTTCGCTCTGCTGAGACTCAAACATTTAGGCTGATGTTTCTGTACCAAAAATTTAGAAAAAACCTATCCAAACCGCTCCGTAAGAGAACCAAGCGGCAGCGTCAAAAAAATTAAGTTTAAAGAATCCGAGGACATGAACCAAAGAAGTGACCGTGGCCGAATAACGAGCACTTTTTACGACGAACTCAAACACATTCTGGATGATGAGCCCAGCTGTCAGTCAGTGAAGCTTCATGATGGCTCCTGTGATGCTGGCGAAGGTGAAGCTGATCCTCCGGGAGCGACTGGCGTTCGTTGGCAGTCGTGATTGTTCACCTCTGGATGAGCCGTGACGCTCTGATCTTTTGCTCATGCGGGTCAGTTTAGGAGCTGATCTGTTCAGACTGATGTCTCATACAGATCACATTTAAAAGATAATGTGAAAAGCCAAACAAAAAAATCAGATTTGGTGAGAAAATCAGATCTGGGCCACTTTTCCCTGCTGTGTGAACAAAGCCTGTGTTACTTCAATTTAACGATGTTAAAAGGCCCATATTTTTGTATTTCCGCTTGTGTGGTTTTATGTACCAAAGAACAGCCATAATGCATTTTCTTTACATTTGCTCTTTATATAAACATAAATATATATTTATATTTACTCTGCTGTGTCTTTCAGACTGATATATGTAAATTAGCTCTGTTCTGACAGGCTGGCTGCCCTGTACTGTGCCTCGTTCAAAAAGCAGCCAGGGTTGAAAACTCGTCATAATTTCAGGGCGGGGCTAAACTGCAGGCAGATATATGTGACATCACAAAAAGAGTGAATTTAAAATGGGATGTTGTTACAGTTTTTTTCATTTATAGACTGTATGGAGTGAGGAGTGAACGGCGTGTTTTGAAACTTGCTGCATCAAATTCACATTTTAAAAAAAATAATTTTTTCCATGATATGTCCTTTTAAAGCATTATTTTTTTTTTAATCTGCATAGTCTACAAGTGCATACCAACGTAAACGCAATATTAGTAATAAATAGTAGATGATTCTTTGATATGTGGTTAACATAAAGAAAGTTACGTTAGCTAACTTTGCTTGATAACGCAGATAAACATATGAATATTTGTAACGTTACAGTTTTTATTTTTTTGGTTTTTATCCCAATTTTCTCTTCAATTTAGTCATGTCCAATTCCACCCACTAGTTAGGGCTCCCCCAATCACACGAAAATGATGCGCATGCGCAGCGAACCGCTTAGTGTAGACGTTACCATGACAACCAGCATCACGTGAGTCCAGTCAGAGTGAGATGAGCAGCAGTGAGCAGTGCTTCTGTTTTTAATAGCTTTAAAATGATGTCAGACTCAGGAAAACGTCCTTCACATGTCCTTATTAAAGAAGGCTGAGAGGAAGACGTCGTGTTCTGAGACACATAAGCTGGATGTCCGTCCCACCGCCGTCTTTTAAAGATCAGAGCATAAACTTCGTCTCCTCTGCTGACCAGTTTCTGCTCCGCCATGTTGAACGGTATAAACTTTCACTACGACGTGACGAACATCATCAGAACGGACTTAAACTTTCCGATAGGGAATGTAATGATACAGGCGTTTACACGGATATTATTCTTCTACTTAACGGATTATTTACAGGATTACCCACCTCGATCAATCAGATAGAAACTGTATTCTAAATGGCCTCAAGCAGACTAGTCTATTCTGACTGAGCTATTAGTCGGAGTATTAACACTGATTATTAGGCTGCATGTAAACGTGGCTACTGTCATCGAGGACAATGTAAAGTTCTAGATCAGGGCTGCTCTGATGTTCTGATGTGCATTGATAATGATAATTTCAGCCACACACTAACAAAATCAATGTGATTGTGTGTACAGGCTGTTTACATCTCATATTACTGCCAGAGTAGACGTGAAAATGACAGGATAATCAAAGAGTGTGGATATCATATGGATGGCTCCACTCTTGTCCCTCACAGGCCTCCATACCTCCTGCACTTTAGGACACTGGTGGTTCCAGTCGCAGATTTGGTCACTGCCGGCGATGGCATTCATAGACATGAGGCAAATCGTCACTGCAATCGTCCCCACGATCACCTCCCATGGATGTGAGGCCACAAACAGGCCATGCAGCCTGAAAAGATGGGTCAGCATCGTCACGGCGACGGGGCTCAGCGGGTCTCCTGACAAAAGAGGAACACAGAGACAAGACCTTATTATGAGTGAAAACAGAAAAGAAGAAATGCATATTATTCATTTCACATACTCACTCCATGACAGAGGCAGAAACTCTGCTCATCCCTTCTCTTGCACCCCCTACGTAAAGGGGAATTTCACCAATTTTTCAAATTTTCTAAATAGTTAAATGGCTAAGATGAAAAAGTCATTCAGAGTGGTTTGGTGTGAAATGCACCAATGTTTGGTGTGAGTCAGAATTGTTCACAGTGGTGATAGGAACCAGACGTCCACCTCTAAAAGCTCCATCACAGAAAGTTATTACATTAAATGGTTATGAATACATGGCCTGATGCCTGAGACACTGGATGACTAGATCACCTAAACCACATTCAAAGGGTCAGAGATGAATCTTCACTACATTGAACACAATTGTAAACGGAATTTGTTTTAATTCTCCTTATACAACTATGTGAGCCCGAAATGTATCTGCTGATTTCTGGCTAGCAGGTGAGGGAATAAACACTAAAATGATACGCAAGTCTGGAGTTCAGCAAACTAAGAGCCTTCCTGCACTCCAGGCCCATGAAAGTGTCCAAGTCAGGCTCTTTGACTCGTATCATAATGATGAAAAAAGAAAACAAACGTAAAATGGCAACGAGGTAAGCGTTGACGTTCTTTTTACATTGGAAAAGTAAATCAGATCTGGTAAAAATGACACATTTTAGTCAAAAAGTGTAAATAGAAACCAGCCAAAGTTTATCCAGATACAATCCAGACACAAAACATGTTAATGCATGGTTTAGCCAGTTTTTTTAAAGATAGTTTCGAGACCAGTGTCATGGTGGAGGGGTGCATGCAGGGCGTTGTGAGGCAAAATAGTCCCCAAACAAAACTTTTCAGATCTACCACTATTTTACCATCATCAACACTCCTGATAAAAACTCAGAAGACTCGTGTAGGTTCACTGGTGGTTTTGATAGTAAATAAAATGTCTATATTTGTGTTGTAGTCATGGCGACCCCTGGTTCCTATCACCACCACTGTAAAGAAAGTCTGTACGTTTTTACACAAATGGACATCAAACCACTCTAAATGACTTTGTTTACATCTCAGTGACTGAATTCTGAACTTTTGAAAAACTGATGGAATTCCCCTTTACCTCTTAATGTTATGGCATTAAACTGATCGGTGTGTATAAATATATGTCCATATAAAGTTATGTACAAAGCAGGTCGGAATAGGAGACCCTTATCAGATTTGTGCCCGTGAATAATCAGACAAACTGCGTCTCATGCTTTTAGTAATGATGTAACGTGTCTCCTATTACTCTCATACAAGATCAGCTCCGAGGTGCTGCGTCATCCTGCGTCAACTGGCACATCCTGTACCCCAAGGACCCTTTAGTGACTGTCGTGTCCGTCTGATATAAAACCACACCAACTCACTCGCACAGCTGATAACACAGAGGACACTCAAACGCCGTTTACCTTGTGTTGAACTGAATTAATGTACGACTGATTAGATTAGCTAAATGTAATTCTGGCATAAAAATACAAGGCATTGACATTTCAAAAGCTAGCTAGCTCGTTAGCTACCCTTTAACTAAGCTACGTAACTAATTGCTGCAAATGTATTAATGTTATTTTACGCTTATGTTCACGTACAAACTTATAAGAACGCACATTTATCACCTAAACATCGATAATAAACCGGTTTTGTCCTGATTGACGGCTCAGGTCGGATTCAGCCAATCTGAAGGCTCAGTGAGCGACAGGAAACGGGAGGGTGCAGAATTTGTCAGGGACGTATTATCGCCCACCACCGAATGTCTATGTATGCCCAGCTGAAGCCTAAAACTGACGAGCTCTACTCGGCCAAGGTCAAAACAACGTCCACAAAACGCTCAGTAATAAAAAGCAACATTCCAGGAAGAACAGATATGTTACAAAAGCGGCGGTCAGGACGAAAAATACCTTCATTTGTTAGTCCTTTCCACAGATCGTTGTCCATGGGCTTCGCCTCCCTCTACCGTGATGGCGGCGGCGGTAGGTCGACGAAGGCGACGAGACCACGCCCACCATATGATGTCACCGAGTGCGCTGTTCCCATTGGCCTACAGGCATTCTATACACTCGTACACTAGTTAGTGCACTCCAACAAGAACACTAGCCTGTGTGGAAGCACCGTCCGCCAGTACTGGCTACAGTTAAAACCATTCTGCGTACTGGTTTAACGTTTACGGCCACGTTATTGAGTAGTAACGAATTACATGTAACGGCGTTACGTAATCAGGATACAAAGAAGTTGAATGAAAATTGAAGAAATTAGACTAATTACACTAAATACTCAAGGAAATCCACAACGGGTGGCTCAAACAGAAGATATTACGGAATGGGCTAGTTAAAGGGGAAATCCACCAATTTTTCTCAGATTTCTTTATAGTGGTGGTGATAGGAACCAGGGGTCGCCGTGTCTACATCACAAATATAGCCATTTTATTTACCATACAAAACCACCAGTAAACTACAGAGCCCTGCTGGTGACATCCTGTATAAATAAAAATAATGTGTGGCCACGACTTAGTAAGGTGTGGAAACGGGATAATTAAGTCGCGGCCACTAATTAGTAAAGTGTGGGAACGAGATCCTAATGCGTGGCCAAAACCTAATAAGTAAGACGTGGGAATGAAATAATTAAGCCTTGATCACATCACGCCTTAACAAGGCATGATCTTGTTCTCACGCCATACTAAGTCGTGGCCATGCATTAGGATCTTGTTTCCATGCGTTAATACAGAATGGCCGTCAGATGACTATTACGTACCTCAAACTCATACTCAAGTATTTTTGTAGTTTTGGGTAGAAGACCCAGGACCAGCTCTTCATCAAAATCCATAAGAAATATCAAAGAAGCGAAACATTTTAATGGTTTTATTAATCCAGACAATCTGATTTTTATTGATCCAACTCCAATTACCAAGAAAACCATGCAGTAAAAATATCTGATCCAGATATTTTAATCCTAACAGAGGCCTGGCTTAGACACTCTATAAGTGATGAAGACGTGGCCTTAAATGATTTTAACCTTTAGAATAGACAGAGAATCAAGAGGAGGCGGAGTAGCTAATTATATAAGAGTATAACTATACAAGCCACCTTATTAACTGCAGTCTCCAAAGAAAAATACTTCGAGTTCATAGCTCTGAAAGTGTCCCTTGGGAAAAATAACTCTTTTATTTTAGCTGGGATGTACAGGCCTCTCTCTGCTCCGTCTTCTGCTCTTGATGAAATAGCCAGTCTTTTATCACAATATACCTCTTCTGTAATGCTGGTCCTCGGGGATTTTAATCTTAACTGGCTTTCTAATGCGTCCGATTACTTAAAGGAAATATGTGGAAATCTTACCCTCATACAATCAGCCATGGAATCAACACGCCCAAATCTGAAGGATCCCACCAAATCTACCCTGCTAGACTTAATTCTGTCCAATTAAATGGACAGAATTACTGCCTCAGCAGTCTTTGACCTTGGTATTAGTGACCACTGCCCCATTGGATGCATTAGAAACAGTTGCAAGAACAAAACAGGATGGTGGTTAGAATATTCCAGATGTTGACTTGGCACTAAACCACTTTAGCAAATCATTTCTAATGGTGGTAAACAAACACGCCCCCCACAAAAAGCAAAGAATAAGAGACAGATCAAGTCCCTGGTTCACTAGTGAAGTTTCCTCATTGTTTAAAGCCAGAAATAAAGCTCGGTCCACTGCCAGACGCACAAGGGAGAGAGGCCACTGGGTCACGTTCAGACAACTGAGAAACAGTTGTACCTCTGCAGTCAGAAAGGCCAAATCAGATTATTATCTCGGCCTGATTACCAGCTCTACAAACACTCAGAACTTTTGGAAAACTGTAAAATCCCTTAAAAACAATTCCTCTACCCTTCCAACCAGCGTTATAGTTGATGATCAGCCGATATCTGATCAGAAGGGAATCTGTAGAGCTTTTAACACACATTTTGCTGCAGCTGGTCACTTTTTTGAAAATACTGACTCAAATCAGCTGTTAGGTCAAACTGATATCAACTCTATTGTTACCATGGTCTCTTCACACTCCACTGAGAGTTTTTACTGAACTGGGAGAATCTGCCTTTAGTTCCAGAGCACCAGTGAGCTGGACCCTCACTACAGGAACCACTAAAGCTCAGCTCGCTGGGTCACTCAGTCATTTTAAACTTTAACTCTCTAACCACCTCCACTCTGCCTCACACTGTTTTACCTGACCTTATTTTAATTCTGATTATTTTATTATTATTTTAGTAATTTAGTAACTTTTTGATCTTATCCTCCTTTTGTTTTATTTGTCCTCTTTTGATTTTATTAACTTTTACATTTTAGCTACGTATTTTTATTATTAATTTTCTTTTTTTTTTTACTTACCTGATTTGAGTCATTTTTTAAATTTACTTTTATTATTTCATAGATTCTTACACATTATCAATCCCTTTTTCCTGTATGAACTCAGCGACATTAAATGGGGTCACCTTCAATGTTCTCCGAGGTTAAATAAAGGTTGATTGATTGATTATTTTTATTTATATGGGATGTCACCAGCAGGGCTCTGTAGTCAACCTATGTGTGTCTTCTGAGCTTTTATGTGGAATGTTGATGATGGTAAAACAGTGATACTATTTATAGGGGACTAAAAATTGGGGACTATTTTGCCTCACAATGTCCTACATGTACCCCTCCACCATGAATGGATTAAGATGAATGGATTACTACATCTTAGGCCACAACGTTATCATAGAACAACGTGTCAGACATCAGGCAGCACATATTCAACAAAGTTACTTTAGAGGCGGACGTCTGGTTCCTATCACCACCACTGTGAACAATGCCGACTGTGGAAGTTTCTCTAGAACAGATCATTTCACACCAAACCACTCTGAATGACTTACATCATGTCCATTTAATTGGGTGGAATTTTGGAAAAATTGATGGAGTTCTCCTTTAAAGCCGATCTCTTAATCCTTAATCCTGTGTTGTGGCAAGAAACACGTGAAACTGCATAGGGAGTTTAAAAACCTAATCTGAATAATTTGATCAATTGTTGCTGAAAACAGCTTTGTGTGAGACAGTCTGCCTGTGCCGACCTCTGTCGCCCTCTGGAGGTCAAAAGTTATAGCGGTCACAGGTTTCAGGAAAAAAATGACGGTTTCAGTTTAATCGAAAGTAAAACTGTAATGTGTGATGTTGAGGTCCGAATAACGTTGCTGTAGGTCAGTTATCTGATCTTTCTGAAGAAAACTGGTTATAAAGGACCGGCGTGGTCTCTGAGTCTCTCAGAGAAACAGTTTATTCTCACCTGAGAAAATGACGCTGAGAACAAAAGCGACAGGTAGGCAGCCTCTACACTGCTGGACTATGGACTGAAAAAAGGCCCGCCTAGTCTACATACATTCCAACACTTCATCTTACATTTGAACGTTGTCGTACGCAGAGGATGGGCAATCTAATGCCACATTTTAAGCAGCTAAACCTTTAAAACGTTTAAACGTTAAAAAATCTGACACGTTTAAAATAAATCACGCTGTACCTGTAATGTAGTCACTGCCATGCATGTACATTTGTACATAAATACATACATAAATACATAAATACAGGTACATAAAAATAGACCAGAAATAACCTGAATAAATTAATTACTCATAAAACAGTCTACCGGTTGTTGTCAATGTATCTGTGCTGTTATTTATGTAGATAATTTAGAGTGGAATTCAGCCCAATTTTCAAACTTTCCATATAATTCAATCCTTAAGGTGTGAACAAAGTCATTCATGGGTTGATATGAAATGGTTCATTGTAAAGAAACTTTGGCCGTTTTCACACAAGTCCAGACCAAGTGTTATGTTTTTGTTACACTGTATACGTTTGATCTGGTTAGTTTTGGTTTCACACTGTAGTTTAGTGAGCTCACTAAAGAACACCTGCATCCTGTCAGCATCACCTACGTGGGCTGCGTCTCCCTGTACTCAACAGTGATTGGTTTGAAGAGGAGCGTCTGACGTCAGGACGTTGTCAAGTGAACGTGCAGCCTTTTATATATATCCTCTTTAATCTCAGAAAATAAAGGATAAGTTTTGGAATTTTATGCGCTTTTTCAAGTTGACTTTTGATTTTTTCGTTGGACCAATTTACAGTTAAATATTCTGTCTCCTCCTCTATCTATGTGCCACCCCGGCTCATTTTACCTCTGTCCCGGTTCTTTTCCTTCTTCTGTTGTTTAATGCGTGACAACAGCCTGACTCAACTTCATATTTGGCCTGAAAGTCCAAACCATCCAAAGAAGTGTTTTCACACTGCAAACAAACCGAGGTTCAGTTTGATCTTTTGGTGGGACCAAATTTTGGTCCTTCAGTCCGGGCTGTGTCTAAGGCACCTTTCACACCTTTTATTTTGGTTGAGACCAATCCAAAAAGTCCGACGGTCCAGACACAGCAAGGTCTGTGTGAAAAGCACCCTGATGACTTATTTTACTGACTGACCATTTTATTTACCATCCAAACCACCAGAGACCCTGTAATGTTGATGATGGTAAAATAGCGGAAAACCTGAAAAAACAAGTTTCTTTCTTATCATGTAGTACACTTTAAAAAAATGGTTCTTCAAGGGTTCTTTAGTAAGGAAAATGGCTCTATGTAGAACTAAACATTCAAAGAACCTTTTGCATGATCAAAGGTTGATTATATCATGAAAGATTGATGGAGAATGTGCTGTAGATGGTTCTATACAGAACCTTTTTGAAAAGGGTTGTATGTAGCACCAAAAAGGGTTCTTCTGTTGTTATGATGTCAAGCTTGTAACAATAGAAGAACCTTTTATTAAAAGGTTCTATATAGAACCATATATGGCACATTCTCCATCAATCTGAATAACCATTTCATGACACAAACAACCCTTTAATCATGCAAAGGGTTCTGTGAGTGTTCATGGTTCTATATAGATTTACTTACTAAAGAACCCTTGAAGAACCATCTGTTTTAAGAAAGGAAATCTCATTATAACCAAATGTTTTCCGTTTTTAACAGCTCAA